AGCTGATTGACAGAACTTCTGTAATGGATTAATGATTTGTTCAGGGTTTGCAGACGGGGAAGTTGTGATTATCTGCTTACTTTTTACCTTATCATTTTAAGTTGGCACCAGCACAAGACAGCAATTCAAAAGACCTTTTGCCTTGAGCAGTATGAGTACAGTCTCCGTAAACCAACTTGGCAGCTCTCATGTGAATGGCACAGCACTGCAGAGTATTGCCTAGATGTTCAGCTGGTATTAATATGGGCAACCTCACTGAACTCGTCAACTTACTGTCCTTATTGCACTATGTGTATTCATAAGTGATGTATTAACACTGCAGACTATTGTTTCCTTACTCACCATACCAGTGTAAGTTCGGCAGAATTTCTATGATTTATCCTCCACTTACAGGAGTGATTTGCCTTTCTTCCTTCAGGGTGCATCAGTAACATTAACAGATTCTATTTTAATGCAAATATTTACTCTAAAGAATAGAATAGTTTTATATTGAAAAACTCTGTGTTTGTTGTCTTCAACAGTTTTTATATTCTCTGTGACCTGTAGAAAAGTGAAAAGATACTGTTTGCATTCAATGCTACTCACGCAAGTGGAGCACAACTTGGTATATAAGCAGAGCAAATTAAGTTGTCCTGTGTTTTCCTAATGCATCATTACCTGGCTTTACATACACAGCTCTGATTGATTACAACTGACCAAGCAATTATGCAGGTAAAACAGAAAGAATAGTTTCCTGCTCTGCTGGCTTTACAGCACTTCTAGGTTCAAACAGCACAGACCTACAAGAAGCAGGGCAACTAAGTAAGGTGCCATCATTTCCTTAGTTATAGTTCAAAATGGGCCTGGATAAAAAGTCCCCAAATTGTCCTGCTTTTTTTCTGTTGCATTAAAAAAAAAAAATCCAAGGAAGGAAATCCCTTTTGAAATAGCATTTACAAGTTTCTAATAATTGAATCCCTGTATCCGTAATGGAAAAGCTGCCTAACTTTTTCTCTAGTGTGATGAAGAAACAAATGTTTTGCTCTATGATGCTGAACGCTTCAAAGAACACTTTCAGAAGTTTGTCTCTGGAAATTAAAATCCAAACTAGCAGCTTACATTAATTCAAAATTGAGCAGTTGTATTGCCCTCTGCCTTCCAAAAAGTGACCGGCAGAGGCCTACCCTGGGCCATGCTGATTTGTCTGGACAATATTCATCCACTTAAAGCATACATACATTGAATATCAAATGCTAGGATTGTTCAGCACAGTTACTGCTAAAGTTCATTCAAGCAGTGGATCAAACTATGATTGAGAAAGCTAAAAAGTCACATGCTAGTCACATGCTCTCCATCCCCAGACGTTTTTAAGATGAGACTGGATGTGGCACTTAGTGCCATGGTCCAGTACCCACAGTGGTAGTGGATCAAGGATTGGACTTGATGATCTCAGAGGGCCTTTCCGACCCGTCTGATTCTATGATTCCATGATTCTGTGATCCAGTCTCATCCTGAAAACCTCCAGGGACAGCGAATCCACTACCTCCCTGGGCAGCCCATTCCAGTGTCTGACTACTCTCTCCATAAAAAATTTCTTCCTAATATCCAACCTGAAGTTCCCCTGCTAGAGCTTAACATCGTGCCCTCTTGTCCTAGCATTTCAGTCTCTAATGCTTCCTAACTTTTTTCGTCACCTGTTTGAGTGAATGGGTAAAAGACAAAATAAACATAAAGCCATGAGTATATTCCAAATGAAAGGACTTGCATTGTAACAGTTTTGAAAAGTCCTAGCATCAAGGATTTTTCAAACCCAGCCTAGAATCATTCTTTCATGTTGCCAAACAAGGATTTGAAAAAACTACGGAGATACACCTTTCTCCCAAACAATCGCAAAGGTTAATATATTAAAAAAAAAAAAAAGAAATAAAATAAAAAAAAAGGCAAGCAGGTATTCTGAACAATTCATAATGGTGCAAATTAGTCAGTAGTGTTTTGTGACGAGATAAGATTTATGACTCAGGTCATAACTCAAGCTCTTTCTTAAAAGCGGCTCACATGACTGTGACTGCAGCACAAATCACAGACTCCCCAAAGCTGGCACAATTCACTGATAACTGGCAGCAGCTCAGGCTTAGTCCACTTCCACGTGGTAAGAGGATGAAAAGAGGCCAAGGTACTCAAACACCTCATCCCTGAAGATTTCAACACAAGAAATGGGTTCTTAAGGTATTTGCCAAAGACCAAACAACAAGTTTATCACAGAATTGAGAAAAAAAATCACACGTTCTCCTGAGTTCCAGTCTAGGTCCATAATGTAATGCCATCTTTCTTCTTTCATCTGCAGTGTACCTCCTAAGGAGAGCTAGATGGCTCTTTTGATATGTTTCCTTTACTATTGGACTTCACACAGTTGGTTTATTTTTCCTTCCTTTAGGACAGGATTACATAGAATTACATTCAGAATTCTGACTGCAAAATAAGTATTGTTCCAGTGTGCCTTTTTACTAGCCTGAGCTAGTAAAAAGGCAAAGGTATTTCAGGTGTAACCACAGTGCATAACTGAAAGACTAAAACATGAGCCTTCTAGGCAAACAGTCTAATGGATGTTAATATATGTAGAAAAATACAGGGCATTGAAAATGCACCCTGAGTCATTGTAGTTTACTCCAGCAATTCAAACCACAAAGCCAGAAAAGCCCTGACTTTGTCTTCAGTGTTGCCTCTGGAAGTCCCACAACATATTCTGTCCTGCAGAGGAAGTCATACGACATGTGCGGGATTCACACATACACTACAGATGCCATATTTAGCAGAGAAGACTAAAATCTCACTATTAGTCTGTCCTACCAGAGAACATTTCAAAAAGTAAACACTGGGCAGTTTGAACAACCCCTCTCCTGCACCTCCTGTTTTACTTACAGACCAGCTCCTACCACTGTGTCTCTCCAAATCCACATTTGGTAATGCCCAAATGGACCTAATCAGACAAGACAAATCCTCTCCACTCAAGATACTTCTTTTTACTGTGAAAACACATCTTCTAAACTATAGTCTTTTTACATCAGGCAGAACTTCTGCTTCCAGTAACAATACAGTATGCAAACCCACAAATACTCTTTGTTGTATCATTTCCACCTTCAGGAAAGTGTATTACATCATGACTGCTGGCAGTCAGTCACATTGCAGACATCAGGTGTAAGGCTCAGAAAGTAACAGCTCATTTTACAGACTGATTTCAGTACACTAATCTTTAGCACTGAAAACCTCACAGGTTCAGTATTTTCCCCAAGAGCCTTATTTTCTTACTTCAAAAGTTTAACAAAAAACAATTTGGTTGTCTTGAATTAAGTTGCAGTTTTCAAAAACAGCTTCCTGGAAAAAACCTAAAAAGACATTGCTACAATACCCCTCCACGTGCATCAGAAGGGTTAACTATGAAGCACAACGGGCAATGCTCAGTACAAAAAAATGTAAAAGGTAAAATGCAACAGAAATTAAGAGAGCTACAGGTGCTTGAAGTCTGCATTCTGTGAAGAAAGGGAGAACCTTTGAATAGATGTCAGCTGGGCATCAGTCCACATCAAGTGCTTAAAGAAGCTTAAGAATTTACACTGCTGGAATTTCTTAGAGCAGCTTAAAAGGTGCTTTCAGCTCCTTCCTCCTTTAAAAATATGAGAGACCAGGGGTTTTATCACGTGTCTTGTGATATTAAGTTACATACATCTGGCTCCTGGAATCATCTAAGACACAGAGGCCTTACTAAATCAAATTCAGTCCTTACAATCATGGTAAAAAGTCTAAAAAAGGAGTGCTATAGACACGACAAGCACTGGAAGGGAATACACTGTCTGAGCTAGGGAGTGATGATTTCTAAATGTTCTTAGAATTATCTGCAAAATTCTGCCATCAGAAGAACCTTTGATGTATTTTTGATGTATTTTTACTGTCCTCACTCCTTCCTGTTTCATGTCGGCACTTCAGATGAGAACTGCTCCACAAGCAATTACGGGCGCACACTTACACCAGTTCCAGCACAGCATAAAAGCACACACAGAAAAAAATTTTTTCAAATGCCAGACAGTGGGAAATTCTCACAGTTTTAATGTCCATTGTTAAGGCAAACAGTCCACCTCTTCTGAACACTGGACGTTATGACACTGGGCTTTTCTAAGAGCTCTTCCTCCACCTTGCCAAGCAGAGTGAGATGGCAGTCATGTCTGAAATTCATTATTTATGTTCTGCTTGGAAGCCCACACTATGCGAATATCAACACGTTCTCTTTAAGCACCACCACGCTGCCCAGCCTGCTGGGCTGACGTCTGAGACACCTTCATACGGTCAGGTAGTGGTCCCTTCTGTAAGCCTCTCATCTTCGTCAGGACGGTACTATTTTGGAATCCCACAAAGCCGTGCACCTGCTTCCCTCCAGTCCCACGTGGCAGCACACTACAGGCGCTATGGGTAGCGTCACCAAGGGGGATTTTGAGGCGAAATACCCTCACTTTGGCTCCGTGACACGCGGGGCGGATCCCGCCCCCCCCCTTTGCCCGCTCCTTTAGCTGCCTCCCGCCCCGCCTCGCGCTCCCTCAAGGAGCCCCCGCAGCGCGCGGGGAAGGGGGGGTGGGTCCCGTGACGTCACTGGACAGGCCCCGCCCCCCGCGCCTCCGTGGACACGTGCCCGCCCAGACCGCGCGCGACCCCTCGACTGGCGCTGTGCGCATGCGCTAGAGCCCGTTTCCCCCAACCTTGCCCCCCATTCCCACTCGCGCCGTACGTCCCAGAGTGACGTGTGACGCCTTTCCGCCGGCAGTGGGGGCGGGGGCAGGAAGGAAGTCCGCAGGCCCGCCGGTCGCAACCTACCCCGCTAGCGCCCGGCGCCGTGACGTAACTTGACGGACAGCCGTTGCAACCAGTCAGAGCTCTAGGGGCCGGCAATTGATTGGTTGTCGCGAGGGGGCGGTGGGTCCCGCGCGCCGGCATAGGTTGGTGGCGGCGGCGCCGGGTTACATAGGGCGGAGTACGGCGTGTCCTTGGGCACAGACCGAGCGGGAGGTGTCGGAGTGCGGTCACTGGGTCTGAGGGCGCAGCGAGGCAGCTGGGCAGGCAGGTGCGGGCACTGGCCGGGGATAGCCGGGCTGTGTGTGGGGGCGGCGAGCGCCGGGCGGGGAGCGCGGGGAGCGGGCGGCGCGCCCGGTGCGCCCGGTGGTCCTGAGCCCCATTCCGCCTTCCGGGGCCGCGGCCTGAGGCGGTGGCCGGGGGGCAGAGGAAGGTCACGGCGGGGCCGGGCGGCCTCACGACGGGCCGGGACCTGGAGGAGAAGCCCAAGGTCAGCTCGGCGCAGGGGGAGCCGGGGCCACGCGGCGCGGGCGCCCTTGGGCGCTCCCGCCAACAGGGACTCTGGGGTCATCCGGGGTCGCGGGGACAATCCGGTGCCCGCCGCCCTCCGGCCCTACTGGTGCGCTTTTCCCGCTGGAAAGGAAAGCCTGCGAACAGTCCTGTGCTTTTACACGGGGCTGCTGGTCACCAGGAAACTCTCCTGTTCCAGGTGTACGAGCTGTATGTAGGCGTTGTGTTAAGTTTGCTCTTCACAAGCTGTCGTCGTGCCCTTCAAGCGCCGTGGGGCGATTTGTCTGAGGGAAGGCTTTTCCTGCTCTTCAAGCATGTTTAACACCTTGATATCTTATACGTAGTTCTGTACTAATTTTCAAACCCAGGAGCTATAGCTTGTGGATACACCGTGTGCTGGAGAATTCCCAGGCCCACGGGCAACAGATGTTGGTTTTGTAAACCAGCGGGGCACTTTTAAAGTTTCTGTTCGGTCGCTGACCTTGAAATGGCAATACTGACCTCTGTGTGCTTGGTCTAGTGCTGAAAATGGGAGATATCGAGAAGGGCAAGAAGATCTTTGTCCAGAAATGTTCCCAGTGCCACACAGTTGAAAAGGGAGGGAAGCATAAGACTGGACCCAACCTGCATGGCCTGTTCGGACGCAAGACTGGACAAGCTGCAGGCTTCTCATACACAGATGCTAATAAGAACAAAGGTAAACTTAAAGCTGCTCTTTTGAGCTAAGGAACAAAAATACTGAGTTCTCGATGATAGTTCTAGAAGTACTAAAATCTGCCAAAAATTAAAATAATAAACACACTTATATTCTTGTTCTCGCTATTGTTTCAAAGTCATTAACTATCTTCTTCTTCCTTCTCTCTAGGTATCACCTGGGGTGAGGATACTCTGATGGAGTATTTGGAAAATCCAAAAAAGTATATCCCAGGAACAAAGATGATTTTTGCGGGTATTAAGAAGAAGGCTGAGAGAGCAGACTTAATAGCATACCTCAAAGATGCCACTTCAAAGTAAAAGTTATCTGCTGCCTTATTTATTTCACAAAGGAGATGGCAATGGAAATGTCTGTGATGGTTTTTAAACTTTCTATTTTTACATGTACTGTGTCTAACCTGAAAATCTGTCTGACCCATCAGATAACCTTGCTCACGGTGGGTCACTGGAGTACAAACTTGTTTGGCAGCCATTAACTTAACAGAAACTATGTAATTGGTTTCATGATCATAAAAATTAAAAAAACCCACAAAAAAAACAAAAAGCATTTCCTGCCTCTTCATTGTTTAAAAAAATGTATATAAATAATCAAATGAGTAATTGTCAGCAGCATAGTAGCTTTGACAGCCCAGCTCTTTCAGATTAAAAAGCAGGGTGGTTTTTGGCATCTTCCACCATGCATCTTCTGCTATATTACTTTAAAAACTTAAACCCACCAGCGAAACAAGAAAGACTTTAAAATGCTCAACCCCAACATAATATTTTTCTAAATTTAATCAGTGCTAGGTGTTGCAGTATATATTAATCTGTCTAAAGCTTGCATTAAAAATGCATTTCATCTGATTTAAGTATTTGTGAAATAGCAGTTGTGCCCAGCCACTTGTCTTTTATCTGATGGAAGTATGTTACCTGATTCATCCAGACTTGACACTGCATGCACCACTCCCCTTCAGAAACATCTTCAGTTTTGAAGTGTTATTGAAGCCCTTTGTTGAGTAAATCTTCTGAAAACAGCCATTCTTAGTGTAATGAATAGAACAGAAAAACATCCTGATCTGGAAATACAAGTGCTAAAGACCAAGCTGAGAGTTATTTAATCTTCTTAATTCAGCAGAAGCGTTCACCTACAATCTTGTTACTATTTCAGATGAAGGGGTACAGGAATGAATGTGCTGGTAGACTTAAAAACGAATGGTCTTCCTCTGTGCCTGGCTGTAGCCTGTCATTACTTCTGAAGGTTCTGTTTCGCCCATTGTAAAGCATTTTTAACGTTTTAAGTGGGTTTTTTTTTTTTCATACTAAGCAAGTTGTTCAGAAGAATGTATTTACTGTGTACCAACAGTAAGGCATAACTTGGAGCAATCAATACTGTAAATTAAAAAAAAAAAAATTAAAGTTCTTTTACTGTGTGTGTCTGGAATTAAGTGAAAAACTGTAGGTACCCAGGTTTACATCATTAGGAAACCAAATAAACAAAAGCTCCATGTGAAAAAAAAGTAAATGCTACTTGAGTTGGTGGGAGAAATACTTAAAAGCGTGACAGAGTTAGAAAGTATTTTGGACTAGAACCAGCAAAGCTTTTTTATCAATGTGCTCCTTAACAGCACTTTTGCTGTGATTCCCAAGTAAGAAGGGAGTTAAATCAAGGTAGCTTGAAAGCTGTAGCTGTACTGTAGGGTGGACTGAGTTGAATTATATCAAATAGAATAGTGTGCTTAGGGCCTAAGCTTCAAAGAGCTGTTATACAAAATTAAGCATGAAAAGAACTAAGATTACTAACAATGGTCTCAGTGGTTGCTACCATATGTGTTGTGATTATTTTTTCTTTCCAAACTAACTTGCAAGCACCATTTCTTACAATTAGGGAGACAGACAATATTAACCAACAACAACTTCTTTTACTAGAAGCTTGTTAAGAGAGAGCTTCAAATTGCAGTAGTTTATTACTGTTCCAGTTTTCAGAAGTGATGTTTATCAGCACCTTTATGGCTGTGCAGAACTTAGTTTTCTCTGTGCCAAAATCCTGATAGAGCAGTTGTAGATACAGAATGTAACCATACCCAACTCTGCAGAGTTCTAAAATGGTTATGGTGGATTGCATGGAGAGAGTTGTGACACTCTGTTCTGTCAGCACCTTTATGAGGTCAAAAAAGACCATGATCTCTAAGTTCCTCTTCTCTACAACTTGTTTCTTCTCCAGATCAATTAGAGAAGAGTATTTTTTGGTAAGGTGCCATTTAATTCTGCACAGGCAACCATTTACAAAAAGTAAGCTACCTATCCTCAGAAAAACTTCAGGAAGAAGCAGAGTGGTCCTTTGCCCAGAGTAAGCAGGGAACACAGTTGAGCTTGGCTGTTCTATCTGTACCTCAGAGACCTTGGTACAAAGAAAAGTGCTGCTTATATGTACCACGGAAGAGGGAGAAAATGTAGCTTTTAATTTTAGACTGAGCATGCATCCTTGTTTACATTTTAGGGAAAAGGCCCTTCAGACCTTTAGAATGTCATCTTTTTATGTATACAGCCCTAGACAGCCCTATACATAAAAGATTTGTTGTGGGTGACTCGCAGCCGTTTGCCACCGGACAAACACAATACTGTGGTGTTTCTAGTATCTGATAAAGAATACTGAAACAGAAGGAGGTTAGACTACCACTTCTTGAGGTAAGTCTCAGTGCAAGGGCTTGGGTGGGTTCTTCACAGGGTGGGAAGCAGATATCCAGGTCAGTTGTGTAATCAAGCTTCAGTTCTTTGATTTCTGGTTTATATTATAGAGTAGGAGGAGTGGGGTTTGCCTTTGTTTTATGAAGTACCACGTTTAGTGGTTTTCTTTCTGACAGTGGTATCAGTCTAGACACTTGGCATTTCAGTAGTTCCTTTACAGTTCCAAATAAGGGAATCAAGGCACCATTGCCAAACATTGCAACATCTCATAGAAATGATTCTTGGCTACTAGTTTATGGCTTTGGTGGGGCATGCCTTTAAAACTGATCTTGTAATATTTTCACATGTACTTATGCAAAGGAATGAAGATTGTCAATAATGAGAGGAAAAGGTAAAATCCAAAAGTACACCTTTTCACAGTATGACTTCAAAATAAGTAGGATACTTTAAAAATTATAACATCTATTAGTTAGGCATTCCATTGAAGTTTAGTGATACAGAAGCTATTTTGTTTATTTAGAGTCTTAATTCAAGTGTAACCACTCTACAAACAACTTAACTTGGGAAAGTTCCATTTGTTGCTGCCTATCCAGTTGTAGATAATTGCTTCAGTTAAAGATGTGTTCATTTTGATAGATCTTGTCTTGTATAGGATTATGTAATACTTTCTGTTTTTTCAGTGTAAAATACAGTATCAGTGATCCAAAAGAAGTGTGATACATTATGCTTCTTTTGTGGGGAAGAACAAAAATTAAACAACTAATAGATAAAAATTAGATATTCTAGTCTCTTACATATATCAAAGACCATTGAGTTGCACACATTTACCTCTGTATTAAGCCTTGTCATTTGCCTTTATCCAAAACACATCCTAAAAACTCTTCCAGGGTCAAAGCCAACAGAAGTCTCTGTTTTACTGCATACAGGATGAGTTGAACCATTTCAAACTGATGTCCTGAAAAGCAGGTTATTCTGGGAGGTGAGCAGCCCAGAGCTAGCAGTAGGAAATGTTACGCTGGGGAAGGATGTGAAATCCTGTCCCCTCCCGTGCTGCAGTGGCTGAGTCAGGACTCCAGATAATTGTCACTATCTGCTCATGATTCAGAGCTTGCATGTAAGTACTTGCACGTTTTTTTCCAGGATTGTTCTTTTGATCTAAAATACAGAAAATATGGTCGCCTTTTGAATATTAGTTTCTGGTTAGAGATCTCACAGGAGATAAGAGACATGGATGATGTTTGCTTCTGTGACATGATACAGATTCACATCCCCAAGTTTCCAGAAGGCTGAATTCACCACCAAACTGAACGTATGTGCTGGAAAGAAGATGCTCTATGCCTCTGTTGGAGCTGTCATTATGCAAAAGGAGAGCTAGAAAGAAAATTAGCAAAGGAGGAACTAACTATAGCAAAGTGTTCAAAACACATACCTTGGAGCAGGGGAGGTATATTCTTTCCAGATTGTTTATGCATGTAATTTTAAACAGTGTTGGATAAAAATAAACCTGGCAGTAGAAATCAGAAGTTATTACTCTGGTGGTTTTACATCTCATTAAAGCTGTTCAATGCAGCTTGCTTATGCAATGTGAGCCTCTGCCTTGTATCTTTCAGAATCACCCACTCTCCAGATGCATCTTCCCCTTCTTATGTTAAAGTGTACTTCTGTATATAAGGCTGTGCTTGCTGTCCCCATCTTACCACACTGCCAGATTTTGGTCATAAGCACTCAAATCAAAAGCTGTTATTGGAAACGCTGAGTAGTGTTCTCACTCTTACAATAATCTGCAGAAATTCACTGCTGATGGTCCCATTCATTCGTGAGAGTTTGATGACAATTTCTTTTTAAGATGTCTGATGATTCTTAATCTATGGGACAATGCCTTTTATTGATCTTCTTTAATTCTAAATTTTTAATAGACCTAACTAAAGAAGGTAGCTTTTACCTGCACTATACCTCAGGATTGTTTGGGGTTTTTTTGGTATGAGATGCAGTGTGGTGATGTGAGCATTCCCTGATGTATAATGCTTCTAGACAAGTAGGGGAAAGATGCATCACATACACTGAATTTTAAAAATATCATTAGTGTCACCTACGTGTCACCAGTACCCTCAAGAATCTGGTGCTCTTGCTTACCTAGGTTTCATTGCAAGAATATGCCTATGCTGACTGTAAGCTGTAACCTGAAGGCATGTCTCATATTTCTCTTTCCACTGCTGATTTGTTAATTGGCAAACAGAGAGGAAAGGAAATCAGATTTCTCCATACCTTGCCATGTTTCCTATAGGACTCCTGTCATTTTATTTCCAGTTATTCTGTCAGTTTATTTGCTATTAATCACGGAATCACAGAATCATTTAGGTTGGAAAAGACCTCCAATATCATTGATTCCAACCTTCGACCAAGCACCACCTTGTCAGCTAGACCATGGCACTAAGTGCAAACAACATCCAGTTGTTTCTTGAACACCTTCAGGGATGGCGACTCCACCATCTCCCTAGACATTCTGTTCCAATGCTGAACAACCCTATCCACGAAGAAGTTCTTCTTGATGTCCAACCTAAATGGCCCCTGGCACATCTTGAGGCTGTGTCCTATCCTCCTGTCACTAGAGAGAAGAGACTGACCCCCACTTGGCCACAACCTCCTTTCGAGTAGTTGTAGAGAATTACAAGATCATCCCTGAGCTTCCTCTTCTCCAGGCTAAACAACCCCAGTTCCCTCAGCTTTTCCTCATAGAACTTACTCTCTAGATCCTTCACCAGCTTCGTTGCCCTTCTCTGGACTTGCTTCAGCACCTCAATGTCTTTCTTGTAGTGAGGGGCCCAGAACTGGGCATGGTACCTGAGGTGTGGCCTCACCGGTGCTGGGTAAAGAGGAACAATCACTTCCCGGGCCAAATACTAGATATTAGATCTGGAGTCCTTCCAGTGGTATTTTTATAGGAAAGGTACCACATTTTCAATTCCACAAATCTTTGCCATAAAGAATTATCGTAATTATCATGTACAAATTGTCACTGGTTGGCTACCCATCTGGTCTTTCTCTTCTTCATTTTATGTTACTATTAAAATTTATACTTCTTTTATACTGTCTGAACTGCAAACAGCTTCTTGTACTTTACTATTCAGATGTCTTTAATTTACACATCTCTTAACTCTGTAGTGGGCTTTAAAAAAGTTTCCAGTTAAAGACTTGAAAAATCCTTTTGTGTTGTTTCAATTTTTTTTATTTATTTTTTTCTTAATTCACTGAAAACGGTTCGGTTTCATCTGGGTACCCAAGAAAATGTCTTTTCTTGTGAGCCTCAGAAACATACTTCCAAAAAACAATGATGGAAGTGTGGAGAAACGTCTCCAACTGGCAGCATTTGATCGGTTTCTTGCTTACACCCAATGAACAGGAGAGGGAGCCAATGTACTAAAAAGCTGCAGAAGAATTGTAACCTGCACTTGAAGGTAATTTTAAACAAACCTCGGACAGTTTGAAAAACGAATTTCATTTGTACAAGAAGCGGTTTTAATGTAAGTGCTCAGCAAAAAGCACTGAAGGTGATTAGTACAGCTGAACGCATCGGTTTTTCTGCAGTAAGTTTGGGTTATTCTGAAGTCCTAAGCCGATTCATGTTTTATATTTCATGAGGCTAGCTCGAGTTTGAAATAGCCTGTATTAAATTTCAGTCTATTGAAATGGTAAAAGATTCAGTTAGCAAAATGTTTCTTTCTGACTTCTCAAAAGAATCTTAAATCAAAGGTGACAATCTCTAATGCATACTCTGGCTTTGTTCCTACTGTGGAGCTCACTTTGATGTCATCAGTTGAAGTATTAAGCTTGAAATGGACATACAGGTTGTAATATAGTTTCTCCACTAGCAGTTAGACAGGTACATGGTGACCTTTGTTAACAAAAATGCACTTTAAATCTGTTTCTAATACTATTTTATGGATGGTGCTTGATGACAGTCTCATTACTCTGAAAACTGATGTTTTGTAATACTCGTGTAGCTAAATTAGCATTGTTACTATTATTTATTGCTATTTGTAACCTTGAGTCAGAATTTTACTTAGCTGGAGTATTTCTCATGAGGATATCAATGGTAATTATTTAACCATCAGTATGGATTTTCTGGCGCGTGCCTGACCATGAAGCCTTTGCAATTCTTCAAAAGACCATGTTGCCTTTTTTTCCTATCAATTCATGGTCAATGTGTATGTTACAAGTTAAGCTTCTTTTGCAGTGCCTAACTCTACCAGGAACAGTCTGATCAGACATTAATAATTTAGCTCATATATGTGTTTGCTGTCACTCTGAACTCTCAGAAAGACAGCATCTCTCTCTGTACCAGCATTCAATGACATATCAGAAAAATCTCCCCACAGAGAGGTGCAATTGCTGTTGAAAGATTCTTCCACATCAGAAAATCTATCAAAAACATAGGGTAGTCTTCTACAAATGAACAGGGTCATAAGATATAAATCAAGATGACACAAATGAAGCAAAGAAAGGGGAAACAAAGTGGAAATTAAACAAAGTTAGTACAGGGTGACGTATTATATGTTCAGCAGGGACAAAGACTCACCTGTGCTTTCACCTATTGAGCTAGGTATTACAGTATGAAAGGAAAGGCACTGGAAACCCAGAAGTAACAAAAACCAGACTTGTCTATCTTCAGTGGAAGGTTTAGAGGGGGTGGATGGGTGGGGTGTGCATTCAGTGAGTATATCCTTTGGTTGGATACCTTTAATTTTGCTTCAGCTAATTGAAGTCATCCAATTGAAGCTACCTGGCTCCAGCAGTCTGCACTTTGCTTCCACTGATTTTGCTGATATATTTTCCATGTTAGCAGATCAGCCAGCTGAGAAATGGTGTGATGTTTACTCAGTGCACATATCAAATGATGTTTTGCAGGGCTGGGAGCTCTGATTCTTCAGTAATGCCAGAGCCGAATGTCACCACTGACACAACATGCTTGAGTTACACTGAAGTTCATGGCATAGCTTTAAAGTTTGCTCCAGCTTCAGATCTTACCTGAAAAGTACAGGTCAGTAACCTTCAGTAGACATGGTGAATATACTATAGATAAAAGGGTAACAAAAGGGGCTCTAGCACAGGAGAGAGTAGTCACTCAGTTGAGTCAGGATGAAAAAGAGCCTTTGTTTTTTAGCCGGATTGTATAAAAAGTACTGATAAGGAGCTTGGCCTAAATTACATTTACATTGCCAATATATTTTGTTTTAAATTTAAGGATGCTAGTTCTCTGAGCTGCTCTGTGCCAATCTAGAATGCAACTGAAAGTCAAGTCATCGTGAAAGCCTCCAGAAGTGAAGATAAAAGGACCCAAAGCCTAATGAATCTACATCTACTGCAGTGCAATCTTTCTGGCTCTTTGCCTGTCTGGCTCTTTAACACCAGTTTTCAGTTTCTAGATAGTGCAGCCTGATGTTCTGACTGATCAGTTTTAGCCAAATTTTTGTTTTTCTCTCAGAAAATGGTTTCCAATAATCTTAAGATTTCAAGAAAACTATTCCTTTGAGAAAGCAGTTGGTTTTATTTTTCTGATACAATCAAATCAATGCTATGTATAGCACTGGTGCTATTGCCAGGAAAGCAGAAGGAAAGGTCACAGTGAAGTCTTCTCCCACTGCCTGAGTGAGCTGGGATACTCCCCTCCAAGGGCTTCACACCACGACCCAAAGACAGCACTGTCACGAGTTTTGCACCCGTGACAGTTTGGTGTCTGGCAGCTGGAGTGCTTTTGCTAATAGCTCTGGGAAGCCTTTCAGAGTCCCATGTTCCCTCCTAAAAAAACCAGGGTAAAACGGGATGGACAAAGAGACAGAAACTGTTATCAATTTGTGCACTGTGATGTAGAGGTTCAGTCTGGGGGAGTTTCCTGTTTGGGATGGTATGCCAAGAGATGTTTTTCCACCCAGATTTATCTTAAATCTTAACCTTCCCACTGCCCGTTACCATTAATATCTGCCACCCCTCAACTCCCCTCAATGCAGCTCCTTTTCCTGCATGGTTGCAGCAGTAACCTCCAGTAACCAGGTCTCGGACACGCTTGACTTCTTCAAAAAGGGGGACAGCCTCCACTGATCTTCCAGGTAGGTGTAATTTTCTTTCTACTATGTTAAAATTTCCAAACATCCTTTCTTTCTCACCTTAGGGTTACAGAGTTGGGTTTTTAAAGCACAGCACAGGATCTTAGAGTCACTAAGATCAGTGATTCCTTAGCTAGTCTTCAGATTTTTCCAGGTCTTTCTTGGGCAATCCAATCACTCATTTGCTTAACTGAAAGAGTTGGGATCCTCATTTTCTGTAAGCTCTTCTAAGTTTAGGGGGATGTTGTTTTTTTTTTCTTCTAAATTGTTTGTTTGTTATTTGTTTGTTCATTTGTTTTGCAAGAACTAAGAGGTTTTAATTCAGAGAGTCTCTGAATGGCCCAGCCAGCCCCTTCCTCATGCGAGAATATAATAACATAATCATAAGGGCTTTCCTTTTTTTTTCCATTTGTCTAACTGCTTGAAGTTGATCCTGAGGGACTTCAAATACAAGGTAATTATTGGGTAAGTATTTCTTATTACTTCATCTGTGGAAGTTCACTTCATTGGTGCACATCATATGCTCAATTTCTCTTTATCGACCTAATGTAATAAGAGAGCTTGAAACTTCCCTGAAAAGAATAGTAAATATCAAGTGTATGTTTTATGACAGTACTCAACATCAAAAGGTTTCAGAGGCAGATTTCTTAACTTTCAGTAGCACAGTTGCATAAGTTCTAAATAAAAGCTTTATAGTAGCATGACGAGAATCTTTAACTTGGAGTTTCATATTAGAATAAGCAAATATTAATGAAAGTCTGAAATGTTTGATCCTCTGGTGACCCATCCTGCTTTCCTTTGCTGTCTACAGCTATTACAGATACATGTCTCCAGAGAATCAAATAAATGGTTGTAGTCATTGCTAAAATATTCAACCAGAAGATGTTTGGTTTAAGCTATTTTTAACGGAGTACCTGCATAAACACAATCACTTGTTCATTTTTCTTTTATTTTTGTTTAACTGAGGTCCTTCTCTCTCACACACATGGAGGGTAGCATAGGAAAGAGAGGGGCTTGTGAACTCTGCTATGTAGAGCTGTTTCCCATAGCTCTGGATGTACTCCATATGGGTGAGACTCTGTCCTGTGACTTGTTCATGCCTACAGTTTCTTTCCAGCCACAGAGGAAACCTTCTCCCTTTTCATGAAGCCACCTTTTAAAGGAAGGCCTGTTATTTTGTTACCTAAGCCTATGTTTTCCAGTAAATGTAGGTGGAATCAATCTGAGTTTGTACAGTCTTGTGGCTGTCTCTGAAACTTTCTTTGCAAGTTTTAAGTGGTGCAGGCATTTTATTTTACAAGTAGAAGCAAAGTTTTAACTACTCTCAGGAATGGTATGCACTTAAAACTGTAAAATTGTATGCTTCAAACTTTTTAACTGTGGGCAAATATGCATTTGTTTAAAATTTGCAAGTAGGTGGATTTTTTTCTGTCTTGCCAAGCTTTGTAGGAATTACATAGCCCTACAAGCAATTTGTAAGTATTTTATAGACTTTGGTGAGTTCAGAAATGCTACAGCTTTTCTCTTATGCTTTAATGCATATATGAGACCGTGAATCTGCCAGTATGTCTAATTGCAGAAAATGCAAGTACCAGGAAGTCTACACAAGGTGTACAAAGTATGCCAGAAGTGTGAACTTCACTGTTTCTTTCCTGTCAGTTTGAGGAAGACCAAGGTCTTAAAAAATTGTAGGTGTCAACTAGAAATTAATGTGGCCACGTGTCTCACACATCTGCCTGAAGTTTGGCTCTTACACCCAAACTTCGTTAGAAAGGGTTTACTCTCCATATTTACCTTGTTTTTATTTCCCTGCCACCATGACCAAAATTAAAACCTCATCTGGGGGAATTTCATGTGTATACCACTGTATTAAAGCATCTCAATAGGGGCTTGCAAGGCTGGTGCATATATATATATATAATATATATATATATGTGTGTAGTTTTGGGCTTTTGTTTTTCATCTTTGATTGCTTCCATGGATTTCTTTCTGGATTATTCCTCTGTAGCTTCAAAGTTTGGCTCAGAAAAGCTCAGAGGCCAATATTTGTATTCCTTGTTTGAATTCCATGTTATGGAAGACATAGCAAAGGCAGCCCAGTAATTAAAAAGTGAGTGTTTACTGATGTTACATTGAATCTCATGCAACAAGAAAAGCTAATTTAATGACAACAACTTTGGTTTAAGAGACATCCTATATATGGAATCCAAGATTTATGTCCTAGAAGGATCAACTCTTCATCCTTCATTTGTCCAGCATTAAATAGTCCATTGAGAAGAGCTTGTCTACAATGAATGGATGATGAACCTCACCCCATCCCCAGCCCAGTTCCTTCTGATAAAGTTGTGGTGTCTCTATTCTCTTTGAATGAAGTCTTGTTTTTGGTTTTACTCTGCTGTTTGCTCATCAGTTTCTGTCTCCAATATATATATGTATATATATGTGTGTGTGTGTGTGTGTGTGTTCTATACTCTCGCTGCTTCACAGTTTATGTACAGATAACAAGAAATTAAGTCTGCAACATATAAGTTACTTCAATAATAATTGCATCGGTGCATCAGACTCAATGTGATTATTTTTTATAAGTAATGGTCCCTAGTAATTCAGAATTTATAAATAGGATGTGGGACAAAGATATCTAGCCCAGAACAATGTTTTCAGCAATCCTGTTTTTGCAGCTCCTTTCCTACTATTCAGATGCATTTTCTTGATTTGTGTCTGAAGCTCAGGAGGAAAATAATCAGCTTTTGTGGGATTTAGACATTATAGTGCTTCTCTGTTTCTAAGCACTCAAGTAATAAAGGCTTTGTGAATTATCTCCAGCGTACAGTATTACTATCTTTCCAAAACTGTCATTGCAGTTGAGTTTAATGGCTACTCTACAACTTAGGAGCAGCTATGAAAATCAAAAAGGATGGCACCACAATTACAGACTAAAATCCAGAAAGCTGCAGTTCTTGCTCCAAGAAAAATATTGAATGCATTAGCAGAACATGACTTCATTAACAGCATTAAAAGTTATCATTTATGGGAAGGCAAGCTCGACTTTGGCACGCATTTCAGTGAATGACAGCAACTTTTTTAATATTTCAACTAATATGCATTGACAGATAGCTTAGGGTAGCAGGTCTAAAAGCATTTAAGATTACAGCAATGTTCCTTAAAATAATATGAAGAATTGTTACTGCACTAATTTTTTCATTTTAAAAAGACATTTTGCAGATTGTTTTGTGTATACTAATGTTCATATAAAATTAAAACCACAGACATGTCTCCTAGGTAATTATGCTCAGTACCTTTCTAAAAATACAGTCTTTTAGACTTTTTTTTCTTCACAGTAGAAAAAGAAACATATTCTAAATTTTGCTACTTTGTGACTGTTATAATTTTGTTTAGAGTTGACTCAGTTTTGGGACTGGGGGAGTTGGATTTTTTCCTTCTGCTTCTCCTCCATCCTCACGTCTATATGTGAAACCTCCATAATTCTCATCAGTCCTTTCTTCAGCCCTGGCAGGATTTGTTGATAATCTCTTATTTCTATCTAGCCTTCAGTGAGTCCTCTCCTAGGCTGCTGCCACTGCTACTGCCACACTGAGGTTTAGCTCTTGTGACATTATCCTTCTGGAAACAGCAGGATAGATTTCTTGGATTTCTGCAAGCCACCTATCTGAGTAAGAATATACCACTCTGTAGTTCAAACACTGGTATTGTCTCCTGAGCCAGCAAACCAATATTGATAATATTTCTTAGCTGTTTTGACATTTATTATTTTTTCTCTTCAATCTCATGATTGTTAAAAGAATAGTTGCTACAATTTTGATTTAGGACAGCATCATTCAATGTTTGAGAAAATCAAGATCAATTTCAATTAAGCTTTTCAAATTATCTTTTACTTACAGAAAAAGAAAATCAAAGTGGGTAGGAATGCTATTGTGTCTCTGAGGATTTCTTGTTTACAATTGTAAGTCTTGATTCTTTTCTGTTTTACAGTGATACGAATGAGGCATAAATGTTAGGCAGAATGTAAATGTAGACTGATATAAAAGCAGGGGGGAAGGATGAAAGAATTTGGGCCTACAGTGGGCAAAATAGAGAGTATTTAGATACAGATAGAGTGCATGATCTTCAAAGCAGGGAGGGCAAAACCAGAAGATCCGTGAATCTGAAGTGGACGGGAGTCTGAACTCAGATCCTGCAGGAAAGCACAAGAGGTAGCTGATTTGATGTCCCTTCCCAGTCTTGCAACAATTACGTGTTTCCAGATATGCCTCTTTGGACAGGAAGATATACAGGTAAGACGTTTGACAGACAGAAAGAGAACATAATCATGTGATGCAAGCCTTCTCTCCAGCTCCAGGGACTGAGAAAGGAAACGAAAGGCGGATACATTGTTCCCCTGTCCTAACTGGTTCTGGCTGGCTGCGGAGGCCAAACCCACCTTGCCATACTTGAGAATACCCAGGGAGTTTCTGGAAAACAGGAGAGCCTCTCAGCAGCTGCGTTGGCTGAGGTGTTGCAGATCCAGCAGGCCCTGCCTTTGCTGTGCCTTGGAGCAGCTGACATAGAGCAGACTTCTCTCCGAGGCAGTTAGAGAAGTCATGCAAGCCTCATTTGTTGTCACCACATGTCAACAGAGTAAATAGCCTCTTCTGTAATGGAGCTGGGCACTCCTGCTGTCATACTAAAGGGAATGAAAAATGAAGTTTAAAGAAATTTGTGAAGAAAGGAGAAAAGTAAATAAAGTCAAGGTAAATTCAAGCCTGTTCTTCAGCTCATTACAGTGAGAAGAGTGTGGACAAGATATCAGCAAGTCCTGGAGAGAAGGAAAAGGGCACTATGACAGTTAACAGTGGGCAGTGGAAGTGCATGGAATATTCACTTTCTTGTTCACATCTAAATTTCTACTAATGTTTTCAACAATAATGGCCATTAAACAGCAACACATATATACGCGAAAGCTTGTATTGTGGAAGTGATCACTGCAGACCACCCTGTGGCACTAAAGAACTGCCTGAGCACTGCAAGGCGCTGCTCCCTCTGAGCACCTGCCAGCACTGGATGCACATATATGTCCTCGCTGCCACTTACTGAGAGGGGCTTTGGTATCCCTGACCGAGCTGCAATGTCACCAAAGAAAGCAAAGTTTCCTCCAGTCACTGAAAAATCGATTATGTAATTCGCATTTGGCAAGTGTGTGGAGAGGAAAGAACAAATCATGAAGGTGGTTGGTGTGCTCTATATCCGGCACCTAGATGGAGAAATGCACAGGCACTGAAACAAAAGGATTAAAATTCAGTTGCGAAAAGGGGGTAAGAGAAACGTAGAAGGGGGTGAGGGGAAGGTAAAGAGGCTGCACGGGAGAAAGAAAGTCCCTGAGACTCCCATTCCTTGGAAAGAAGAGAACAAAAGGACTGGAGATAGTTAAGGGAAAGGAAAACTGGTGAAGTGCTCACACAAAAATTATGGAGGCGGATCTGATGAGATTTACTGGGGAGACTACTGAAGGGAGACAGTCATAGGAAAAGCAGAAGGGTTTAGGAAGGAGCAAAGAAATGCAGTTTAGATGGATCAAAAACTTTCTATGAAAAGAGTGAGAAATGAAGAAGTCTACAGAAAGTTCACCCAGACATAAATTGATAATGCTGGGGAAAAAGTAAGAATAAGAGCAGGACTAAGATGTTATTGAGTCTGTTTTATTGAGTGTTTGGCCCATCCAGCATTCTGCCCTGTAGGTGACTGATAGCTTGCTTCCCTCCCTAGATTCTGCTTCTTTGAATACAGTCTACACCATCTTCTTTTTTTTTTCCTTCCAAAAAGCTGCCTGATCTTGCATTTATACAGCTGAAAGTCCATAAGAATTCAAAAGAAGTAATCTTATAGCAAAAAGCAGTATTAAAATAGCAAAGTACTGTGCCTCCACAGGCAGCAGCTGGAGAAAAGGGGTCTAATTTTCACTCTGATCAGCTCTTTGACTGAGCACTTTCACATGCCTGTGGTTTCATTCTGTGCAATAACCAAGAGGTAACAACTGAAAACTATGGAGAAGCTTCATATTATTAATTATGTAGCTACTTCATTAGTAAGTAGAACGTACATAACAGGACCACATATACACACACTGAAACAATTGTAAATTATTCAGTTGAAACCACACTTACTGAAATGCCCAAGCAAATCATGTTCTTTTTCATATGGTTTTGAGCATTGTATCTTATTTGTCCAGAAAGATATGAATCCTTTAATTTCTGTAATTTGTTCTCATGTAGATGTAAAAGAACACCCATGATTGCACTTTCTTTGGAGGAATTTCAGGGTGAAGAATAGCACTGGTAGCACTAAATAGCTCATTGAACTAAGCCTTCCTTGCAAACTGATAAAATAATAGTGATTCGTGGAAGCATCTTTCATTGCTGAAATTGATAGTCCTGTATTGTCATCTTCTGATTAAAGTAGTTTTGGAAATATGGAGTAGGGGAAATTACTACCCACATTCTGTTTATTTTCCTTTTAATAATATTGACCTACACTTCAGTAATAACCAAAATTTTTATTATAAGTAAATATACAGAAAGTTTCTATTAAGTTAAAGTCTGTGAACATCTGAAGCACAGATTTAATTTCAAATGGAAATGAAGTTTTAAAGAGGTTTTTGTGCCTCACAGGCTAGGTGCATCACTGGGTTTTTGACAATAGTATTTTCATTTCTGATCAGCTCTCTCTGTTCTTGAATATGTACTTAGAAAAAGGCCTGGTTAAAAGGATGTTAAGCAGCCAAGTAAAAACTCCTTTAGGAAGCAATGTTTCTGTACTCCAAAGTGGCAGCAGAAATGGGAGCTTCTGCTATTCTCTGCTGCTCTAGACTTGCTCTGTTTTTTCCCTCTAAGAGATATGTACACCTGTGCTGCTCAGTGCAGCACAATGTACAGATTTTGAGGCTAATTCTTACTGAGCTAGCATTGGTAGCAAAGAGGTAAGAGCTGCATAAGCAGAACACTGGATCAGAGCCAAGTTCTCCTGCTGAGAAACTAACCTGGATGCCTCTACTCATTTAGCACTAGCTCAGGTATCACAGCCAGGTACCACGTCCTGGCATGGACACACGGGCAGTGTTTCTGAGGGGAAGAGCACTGTCTGCTTCCCCAAGTGATTCACCAGTCAGAGAGCCTACCTGTTAACATTCCATGTGTGGTGTCCCCTGGCCTTCCAAAGGATGTGTTCAGTCATGGGTGACACACTGAGGCCCAGAGACCTTTGCATCTTTGGCTCCTGACCAAACTCCTCCAAGAGAGGAGAGGCAGCGGCTGTCCGGGAACATCGATCTGGGTATTGATTTGTTTCTTTCTCTAGCCTGAGCACAGCAGGATCCCTGCTTTTGAAGGGAACTGGCTGTGCAGGGTCCCAAAGCGGAGCAGCATGTGTCAAGTGCCAGTGGGAATGCCTAGGGAGGCTCTGTACTCATTACAGCCGGTGTTTCACCCAGCACCAGGAACAGTGCTATTGATTTTGCTCTCTTCTCTTATCATCAAGCTGAGTCAAGACTCCATTCTTCTAAAAGCTGCATTAGAAAAATGTCAGCAGAAGATCTGCTGCCCCTCCACACACTGTTCAGGGAGCTCATGGGATTAGCTAGGCCTAATGCAATAGGACTGTATACAGTCTTTCTGTTTGATTTCTGGAAATCTATTGTTATGCCAGGCTCTGCTTGTCCTGAGAGAGAAGGAGTATTGTGCCAAATTTCATACTGAGTGCAGTTCTATAAATCAGCTTGAATGCTTGGCTTATTAGAACCAGAGGCAAATGAGAGGCTAAATGCCAATACTGGTATTTAACTATGTATGAGGTAGAATTCGAACAGTGCAAGGCCTGCGTGTTGGATGTACTGTCAGTGGACTTGGTAATAAAGCTGTTTACTGGGAAACACTCGCTTTCCTTTTGCCAAATGACAAGAAATGCTTTTTGGCATCATATGACTGTGATACTGCAAGTTTTGCAGTGCAGAAGTAAACTTGAAAATCTAATTTAACACTGAGCAATAACTTGCTGATCACAGGCTGTAACATTTATCTTAAGCTAAATCACTTTCCTCTAGACAACAGTAATTGATGTTTAGACATAGGTATAAAGGACAGTCTGTAAAAAGCATAATGTCTTCATTTCTGTGTCTCATAAACCCGTTGTCAAGAATATACATAACTCTGCTTAACATTCACCATGTCCTCTGCAGGACTTACTGCAAGTGTTCCAAATATTTGCTGCTTAAAGAATGATCAGAAAGATGAGACAAAAATGGTTGTGAATTATTCTTGAAGCTGTTTGTTGCAAGATTATGACCCAGATCCAACCCTCCTTAGGGCGCTTTTGTGCTGCACCCTGGGCAGAGTGCCCTTGAAAAGAGCAGAGCTGCAGTTGTGTTTGGGACTACACTCTAAGGTGTATTAAGCAGCAAAGCTCAAATTCTGCTTGCTCTGTGAACTGTTTTTTTAAAAAATCAGAAAAAACTAAAGGCAAAAAAAGAAAAAAAAATAGAAAAGAAAAGAGAAGTACTTAGTCTGTAAAGAATACACTGTCTAAAACCTGTGTTGAAATCATGTTTGGTAAACAGTGCATTTAACAAGATATCAAAGCGATTACTTCAGTAAATCTGAAATCAGACCTTATTGTTGAAAAAAAAAATAAAGGAGGCAATTAGCCATTCTAGTTATGTTTGCACTTTGGTACTGATGCTAGAAGTGCCAAGTAGTCACTCAAAGTCCAGCTTTACAAACATGACCCTACTTTTTACCCTTTGCTTAAGTGTTCTGTTACATAACAGGGCTATCATTTCCTTTTTTTCTGAGAGACAGGTTTTTGTCATCCTAGTTCTGCTAAGAAAAAGAAGGACTCAGGGGAAACACCATATTCTCCACTGGTTTTAGTTCATACCCAAAACTTATTGTTCTTCCACCAGCCTGTCCCTTCTGCATTCTACTTCCTCCCATCCCATTTTCATTTGTCTTCTTCACCCTTCTCCCTCTCCTTGAGCAGGTAAGACTTCACACCTCCATGACAGCTGGATTAGAAAGCTGTGTCTTAAAGAGGCTGAATGCTAATGCCAGCTGACCAGATTTCAGAGGCTGTGGATTTAACCTAGCTGCAAGGGTGCAAGGAGTGCTACAGCACAAGCCTCATCTGTATCTCCTGCATTTTCATTCTGCTGTGTCTGCTTTATTTTGTTTATGCAGAAATGCAGCTAATTTCTCAATGACTCCCGAGGGAAGGACCATGTTGTCAATTCCTCTTTTCTAGAGACTGTTTCCAGACATGCTTCAGCCTCTGGGATGATAAGTGCATCAATAAGGATTTCTGTCTCACTGGTACCAGACCAGAAAAATTCATCTTGATACAGAGAAAATAAAGTTTTCTTTGCTTTTGTGTGTCTTACACACACAGACATATACATGTCTAGCTTCATACCTGGTGTTTCTCATCCTTCTGGGCCTGGTTGTCACACCAGCAGGCTATAGCATGATGGAAGGAAGTTTCCATTACTGTATGATTACACTGGTCCAGTGACATCCTACATCATGGAAGAGAGCCAAGATCCAGAGCATCCCTTACAATCTGGTATTTGTGGCTCAGAAGCCCCACTGTGCATTGGCAATATCAGCAGATGTTGTATTCCCCTATCTGTAGTGAACTTGTTCTTCAGTGTTCGGCCTGAATTGTCTCACTGTCTGTCTTAGGACTGAGCAGACAGTGGTTGTTGAACTCAGCACTCCAATCTGTGTTTAAGTATTTACTGTCATTCAGAGACATAATTATGTTAGAACCACTCCTTTACCTGACCTGTTTCATGACCAATATTTGCCCAGCACTTCCCACCCAAGTATCTTTCTCTTAGAAGCCATTATGTAGGAATAGTAGAGCACTGATAGGACTCTTTTGCATGTCTATTAGAGGAGGCCAGCACAGCTGATCTGCAGAGCCTGGAGCCTAATTCTTCAACAGGAGTCAAGATGAGATGGAAATGTCTTCCCACACTTCAGCTCATGCAGAAATCAGAATGGAGAAAACCTTTGCTGTGACTGATAGCAGAAGTAGACTATAAATGATCCCAAACTGCAAGTAAGTGCGTGTTACAAGGTTAGGTAAGCATGTCAAAAGATTCAAAGCCTGATGCAATCTGTATGGTTTCTATCTGTCTCAGAGTTTTGGCTTTCCTCATTAGAAAATAAATGCTTTTATGTCTTCCGCAATGGAAGATTTTAAAACAAGAGTAAAACAGGTGTGCAAGTGTCAAGAATAATCCACATATTCTCCCTGCTGCCAGTGTCCTTGGGAGCTGAAACTGGATTGAGATTTTCCTCCTTTAATTATGTCAATTTTAATTTGTTGACTGTTCATAAGAAGCCACTAGCCTGGAACAGCTGCTGGGGCTGTGTAAAATTAACCTGAGCCATGTCCAGGATCTAGCAGACGGGTGCTGCTCTGCACAAGCTGACGCATTTGGTGCTGACATCCCATCTTGAAGCTGAGTGCAGAAGGCTGAAAGCTGGATATGCCCTGGAGATCAGTATGTCCTGCCTTCCTCTGGGTTTATCTTCTTAGGCCTTGCAGAGATGGATTTGTAGGGGGAAATCAGGAGGAGTGTAATTCTCCTCATCTGTAAGTACCACAGTGTGTTTCGTATCACGAGGTGGGGAAGTGCCCATGGCAGGGACTGCTTTCTCCCCTGAGCTATGGACTAACCCTGAGCTATGAAATACCTTTGGAAAATCCTAACTACCTCCTACTCCCTCCTTTCCACCCTCAAGGATGTGACACAATCTCTTGAACTAAGGCAAATCTGCCCTGGATGGAAATTTTTACCACAGCTAAAACACAGGGTGATTCCTATGTAGTAAATGTGGTTTACCCTGGGATCAGTAGCTTGTGTGCTCTTGGTCTAGGGTGGCTACATCTAGGCTTTGGCCTAGAAATTTTTATCTCAGGACAAGTCAAGTTAGTGGTTTTGCTCTGATTTTACCTGTTCTCTGAATGATATTATTCAGTCTCCAGTGCTCCCAATACACTGCTTGGCTGCAATTTGCCCAAGACTAGTTCTGTCCTGTCAATCTGAGTGTTTGTATTTGAAAGTAATGCTGTGTTTCATGGGGAAAATCAGCAACATTATGGTGAGTCAAGGAGAAGTATGAAGTCAGTTGGCATAACTTACAAAGGGAGAAACTGGCATGTTAAAGATTTCATCCTACAAAATGCCTTTGAATCAATTCAGAACACTCTTTCATCAAGGACTAAATCCCCAAGGATCAAGGACCACTTTAGTCACATTAAGACCACTTTAATCCTACATGAGGACAACCATTTGGGGCTTTAATGCACAGTGATTTTCCATGGTCAGGTAAATTGGCTTAACTTACCGAGTGTCTCTGCTTACAGACTCAAAATTTCTTTTGTTTTGCTTTTTTGCACTGTCCTGCAGGAAAGGACTGCTGCTTCACACCTGCTACCCCACGTGTACCCAATCCTCTTTTGTTCCCTAAGTCACTGACTCATCGCTTCTGTCAACTCTTGACTCTCATTGCAAAGTTTTGTATGCTGTAAGCTATATAAAGAAATTAATTTCATTCAAATGTATTAGCAAGCAGCCTGGAGGGGATTTTATTTGGTTGGGTTTTTCTCTGTACAGTGCCAGAAACCAATTTCCCCAAATCTTCAAGATTTCTGAAACACCTGACACACTCCTGAGTTGTCAGGACTACTTCATGGTTGTGTTTTACTCCTTCATTCACTGTTTTCTTTATTTAAAGCTTATAATTTTTCCAAAATTATTTTGATTATGCTACAATTCACATATTTCACATAGAAATAGTAAGTCCATCTACTGTCTCACTGTAATTAGACAGTAATGTAACACATTTGAAAATAAACAAATCAGGCATGAGGTGGTTTTATGGAACAATACAGAACAAGTGGGTGGACAGGAATGTGGAAATAAAGCCAGGATTCTGAGTGGTAAAAATTGGCTCATCTCCATTAGCTTGCTAGAGCTACAATAGCTTGAACTCTTGCATTTGGCAATGAGCGATAAAATTATAAAAATACATAGTATTAGGAAAAACATGTCCTTTTAAGCTGTTCTTTCAGTGAATTTCTGCTGGCAGCAGCACAGCTTCAGAAACAAATGATCTAAAGTTAGATTTCTGTAGTTGCACTCTTGGCTATAACTTGCATGGAGTTACAGCAGAGGAACTGTGCAGAATAGGAAGTGTCTCTGTGATAGCTAAAGTGACTACTAATATACAGGCGTCAAATTCAGAGATTTCTCCATATTGTAGTGAACTGAATGTCCAAGAAATACAATGATTTTATGGTTTGTAACTTTATGCCACTGAGCAATGGAGAGTAAGAAACATTGAAAAATTTCTGCAATTTTTTCCCTCTTCTTGCTAGCATAGCTTCTTTTCTGGAGTACTGTTAAAAAAAAAAAACACAAACCTTTAGAAAAAAATCAGGATACAGGTTCCAAATTCAAGATGGTGTTGGAAGTTGTATTCCCATCCTGCCAGTCATCCCTAACTTCCCTAGCTTCTGTTTATAGTTTCTCACAGTCAGATTTCTGGTTTCTGTAAATTAGTTGGGATCCCCTTGGCATCTTGCAGGAGATCATAGTCAGTGCTCAAAAAAGAATGAGGCACCTAAAATCCGCTTCAGCCAACATTTTATGACCACTAAGAGGAGAAAATCAGATCTTTGTAGCCTGGCTTCCGGCGAAGAATCTATGGATAGAAATGTGTCTTGAAACAAGACCTTATCTACTTGTTTGTTGCTGTTTAAGGAAGTCAGGTCATTAAATCCAGTCATTCATATCAATCTTTACTTGGGATTTTTGCTTGTCGTTTCTATTTTTCTTTAATTCAAAAGATCTTATTACACCTTTGTAAGATGTCATTATAGCTACTAGATCTCTCTAGTTATTAGTTAGAAGTCTGATAAAATGTGGTATTATGACTCTCCAAATGTAATCTTCCGCTCTCATTTATTTGCTGCTTCTGGCTGAGAGCATCTCTTCCAATGGCTTAACATAGCACATAAATATCATGAATTTGCAAAATATGGAGCATCAAAGAAGACAATTACATCATACCCTGCCCTCCCTTATTCCTCAGGCTAATATAAAATATGCTTTTGTTATTGAACTGGAAAACAAGTTGTTGTTTTTCTTAAAATTTAGGTTATGGTAAAAGGCTAAAGTCCCACACACTTACATGGGGAATATTATATATATGAATCAACTTCACTGCATTTTCCTCCTCCCTGATGCTAACTGTAGGGCTAGTGATCTCTACCAGCAATGAAGTATGTGCCATTCCATGCTGGGCTTGAGACCAACACAGGATTTTCACAGTTTTTGACTGAGTTTCACATCTACTGTACTCTTATCCTGAAATTAGCAAAAGTATTTGTGTGGAGCTCAACCAAGCTGTTAGATTGTTTTGTGTAGCTGTCCCAGGTTCCCTACAATGAATGGTCCAACACTCACCTGTATTGCCAGCGATCACACCAAGGTAGACCTCAGGAGTACTGGAAGACCAGAATTTGCTCAGAATTGTTAATGCTGATACAGTTGTGTGTGGCCTTTTAGACAACATCTGGAGCTCTGGGGAGACTGGGTAGAGAGAAGTCAGATTTAAGAGCCTGAGAACTTGCACAGAGCCTCCCCCCTCAGACATTATGGGCCTTCTGGGCTGCAGCCAGGGAGAGCTGCCAGGGGCTGCCATCATCACTTATCTCCAGATAGAAGGACATGAGTAATGCTTTGGATGTCACCCCATACCTCCCCCGCTAGTGCAGAGTGGTGGTGCTGCTGCAGCAGAGCCACAATCAACCCCTGGAATCCAGGGTGGCAGCAGGAAAGCTGTCTCACTCGCATTTTATATCACAGGCAAACCTCTGGGCATAAGTGACACTTTGGTCATGACTAAAAAGGAATACAGAGCTCAATCTAAGTTTTCTTCCCTAGATTTTTGGTAGTTTTTCTGTTACTTGGAGTGCCATGCACCTCAGTCCTTCACCAGGTTCTCACTTCTGTAAGTTCTCACTGTCTGGTGAATAAGGATGCTAAGTGTGCACACTCTTCTTAGTGGGTTGTTTTTCTTAGAAACAGGAAGAAAGAGGAGGTTGGTTTGTATTTTTCGATGTCACATCTTAAGGAAATAAAGTCTTTGTCAAAGAGTTTTGAACATGCTGGCCAGTTTCAGCAAAAGGGATGGCTGAACAGAGATCTGGAAGACATGAAGGTCTGACAGGTGACTGGATGGGAGCAGGAAAGAGGGAGTAGCAAGGGGAACTCAGCTGAGGTTTCTTTCTGACAGCAGCTGGTTAACCAGTGACCGTGCCTGTAGCTCTTCCTACCCTGTGCTCACTTGTGCTCAGCAGAAAGCCCAAAGGCTATAAACAAGATACATAAGTAGCTCTTCGGATGTTACATGAACAGATCAAGAGACTGTAAGTGGAGCTGGAGTTGAGGAGAATTTAGGAGAGACAAAGACTGGTGATGGCAATGCTGCAAGAAACACAGGTGAAGTTGGATTACATATATTGGTTAGGGCTCAGGACACATAATATGGATTTGTAACTTGTCAGGCTTATTTTGCTTTCCTGCTAATGGAATAATAATTTCCCTCTTTAGTCCCAATTGCCGTAGCTTTGGTTTTGTATCAGCTCCCTCATCAACCATGACTAGAAATGCAGACACCAGCTCCCACAGCAGCTTGAAATTTTAGCATGACAAAAATAGTGTTTCCTAGCTAGGGAACAGTTCCCCAGTAACTGCAGTAAGCAAATGGAAGAGCCACAGTTCTGAACCGTGTGTGCACTTGTGTCAACAGTGGTTGTCTCTTTCAGTGCAGCGATCTGTACAAATTAGAGGCAGAATTCACTACAGAGCCAGCTCATGTAAGCAGAGCTTACCCAAAGTGTAGTGTTTAGCACCTTCTCCTACTCTCAGCTTTCTGATGTGTTTAGTGTGGGTGTTCTGAATAGGACTTATCAAGCTGTGACCTTGACAGAGCTGGTGTTTTGCAAGAAACCAGATTCTGCTGTACAGTGCTTGTGTAAAAGTCACTAGCAGTCCACAACAGGGTACTTTGCCACTTTCTCAGTGACTGGAGGTTTTTTCACTAGGCAGCATGCCTAGCTCAGAGTCAGTCCCAAAGACTAAGTCTAGATCTGTTACCTACTTCCAGCAATAGCATTTGCAATAGATCTGATCGCTATTCCCTCTGTCGAGGTAACTGTGTCACCCTTTTGCAGTTGAGTGTTATGTTCTTATATGACTTGAGTTTTACTGAAGTCCTAAAGCAAAAGGCAACAGCAAAAAGGTTTCTGTGAGCCTCCAAGAAAGTGGGGGGATACAACAAAGTGAAAAGGCTTGGGATAATTACCCCCAGATTTCCAGGATCCATGTTATTCATCATGTATGTGATCTGATGAAAAGCCTTGTGGAACTTTACAGGACCTGTAAAAGGCAGTGTTGTGCCTTGTCAGGGAACAAATGGCCGCTGGAAAGCCTGGTTGCAGAGAGCAAACCAGAGGTTTTGTATGATATTTGTTTTACCAGGATGAAAGATGCTGCAACTATATTCTTTGTAGACAGACAGTGGGCACAGGTCTGCAAAAATGGTGCAAAACATAAAAAGCCCACAAGTTTACTCTGCAGAAAATAAGAAGGCCATCATTTATTATTGTCCTAGTCTAGCATTGTGAAGATCTAGCAGTAAAAAGTGTAATGGAAATGACACGCCAAAGTAGTGACACCCTTTTTTTCTTCCAAGAGTTCTATCACAGTCATTGTCCTCGCTAGTTTGTCTTGCTGCCCTCACTAGTAAGTTTCAGAAACACTCTGAGAAGATAATTGTTTGCAGCTTTTATGATTACATCACTGGAATGCTGTCAGAAGAAAATGCCTGCCCTGAGCTACCACAAGATATTGAGCTGCCAAAGCAAGTGGTTCTGTCTAATCAAGGAACTAGAGGCCTCTGACTTTTCTCAGCTCTGCTTACAAGACAGTTGAAAACAGTGAAAAAATGTTACATCCACATGGACAGCTTAACATGCTCATCTGACCTTCAAAAAGAGTTGTCAAGAGTTTATTGTGGAGACAGAGGAGAAAGGAGAAGCAGATTGCTAATACAAAACTAGTGTTTATAATCTAGATGGGTTTAAAACACAGTGAGATGTCATTGCAAATTTCCAGTGGTTCACTTCACGAAAAGGACTTGGGCTTAGTCACTCAAAAACATGTCACTGTTAGTTGCGGGCAATTTCTTTGAAAAGTTAGTATTACTATGACTCAGCGAGGCACCAGTCAGTTCTATTGCATTGTAAATATGTTGTATTCCTGATAAATTGATTGTAATTACACACATTTTAACAGTTTACAGACTTCTTAGTATTGATGAGTTTCCATATTAAGGTTTTTTTATTACATCTGGAAAAGGCCTTTTCCATGCACACATTAGAGTTTACCTTTTATATCCCATTACTCTGGTTTGGGTGTCTACTTTCAAGGTTAAAAGTGTCAGTGTTCCTTTCCACTGGGCGGTGTGCTTTGGAGTGCTTTTGTATCAGCTGAGAAATCTTTGGAGGAAAACGGTAATTATATGACAATGTTCTTTTTATCTCTTGTATTACAACAGCAAAGAAATGTATAAAATTCACATGATCCAACATCATCTCTAGCCCAGGAAATTCAGACTGCTTTAAATAAGTAGCAGTGGCATGGATGAGACAGAAAAAATGACAACGCACCATGGATCTGGGAACTGGGGTTTACTTAACAACTAACAAGATTAGAACTGTTACCCTTCTTAATTATTTCATGCACTCTCTCATTCTTGCCACCACCCCAGTGTTATGTCTCAACTTCTCTTCACAGCAGGAACATCACTGTTCATCCAGGAAGGCCATCCCCTAGCATTCAGCAACACACAGCCCTCAGGACTCTAGGATCTTCCTCCAGTTTCAGGACCTTTCCTCTAGCCAAGATCTCCACCTTTCTTTTTCCAGGCCACCTTCTTTTTACTGAGACCACTTCTTTTTGGGAACCCTTCATTTTGTCACCAACTCTTCTTTCCAAAATTCAAGGACCCCATTTTCCCTAGTTTCAACAGTCTGAAGCGCATGCATGTGATCAGCCTTGTAATTGGTGGCTCTGGCTCATGTCTCTTCATTAATTGAAGGATTCAGGACGTGCTGCTTTTGTTTAGTCCAGGTGTTACCAAAATTCACTACCAGCCTGTACAAGTTGCAGTTAGTAAGCAGGAGGCTTCTAGGCTGAGCTTGACAGTTCAGGAGTTCAGCTTCAGACATTCTCCCCCCATACACATGCACACAACTATCTGTCCCCTGTAGCTTTCACAATTCAAGCCATTTTTTACCTAGGGCAGGCAGGTGTTAGGATAAGCTAGACAAGACAATAACAGAGTTAATAAAAACAGTGGTAAAACTTGACATCAGCACCTGCAAATAGTAGATAACTCTGCAATACAGGGCTGTCCAAACTAGCATAAGCTCAACCCAGTGAGTCCTAGAGAGCATCCACCCGAGAGCACGGGTATACTGCTTCCAGAATCAACCTGGCTCACAAGAAGCCCATGTGGAAATCTCCACACCGAGAGCAGAGTTACTATGCCACCTAGTTAATTCTCCACCAGCTAGCTAGGAGGAGACTGTCATTATTTTGGTTTTGGATGGATTAATATAAACTAAAGCTCACTCGCCTATTTCATACAAGCTAAAAAAAGGCAAGAATGACTGAATCTGGTGACCAGGATGATATTATTTTACCAGAAGCCTGCTCAATACTTGCAGTGCTTCAACCCAGATTTTATTAGAGATTCTTTTGCCTTTTTCATCTTTTGTATTTCTAGGAGCTGATTTCCATTTACAAAGTTATTTCAGCTGGATCACATATCTCGGCTTCATTTAAAATGGCTGAGATTATTTAATTCTATTCATTGTGAAAAGAGGCTCCAGAGTGTTGGGCGTTCACAACGGAAAACTATTTTTAGTCTGTTTTCATATGAAAGCAGTGCCTGCTCACCCAGGTTGTTTGTTCACCCATCTATCAATTTAGTTCTGCTAACTATGAACTTCAGACTGATTTCAGGCATATTTGGCAAATTCGCAAAGTTCCTGCAAATTATGTAAAAAACCTGTGGTTTGGTAGAAAAAATCATATTATTTCCTTTGTGATGCAGGAAAAGGAGGAAATACTCAGCCATTGTTCTTTTGGGAGAGAATGGGCTGACCTGTTAGCCTGTGCTACTAATGGACCAGCTGCAGAGCTTGAATTCAGCTAGAGCACATCTGGCCTCTTCCCTGCCTGGTAATTAGAGGATCTGCAGTGAGGTGAGAATATTGTAGGAGAGCTGAGGGACATATAGGTAAACTGGGAAAGATGAGGGGAAATCCATGGTTATTGAGTGGAGTTTTGTAGGAAAAATACATAGGGAAACAAATATGTAGGAGATCAAACTTCATTAGTTCTGCTACGATGTAATACTGTCTTCTCTTTCCCTTTGAAGTTTCTTACTCTGAGTTGGTTTTTGCCATTTATATTCAGAAATCTCACCCGAATGACTCAGATCTTTTCAGCTGGCAGTTTGAGATGTCTGTCACTGCCATTCAGCCTACATTTGCTGAATAGGAAGACTCACCTTTCCGGGCATCTCCTCCCTGAGCTGCTTGGTCTCACAGAAGCCCGAGCAGCACACTGCATTCTTCCCCCAATACATTCTGTTACTTTCCTTCCTTTTATTCTTTTTCGGAGTGGATACTGAATATACAACTCACATTGCCACTGGAGACCTTTTATGATGACAGTGATGATTTGTGAAAGTGTCAGCTGGTTATGTCTGGATCATTTTCTTTTAAGTGGGAGATTTCAAGAATTGAAAGCATAGAGATTTTTAGAAAAAAAAAAAGATGCTTTTCAAATTCAAGTTATTCTCAATCTCGAATATATACCGAAGTGATAGGATGGCTGCCTGAGGAGGTGAGAGGAGGAAAAAAAGGAAAAATAGTAGACGGAGTGTTTGGGGCTGAACTTAAGGTACATGGTAGTCTGGTGAAGGAACAAAAGAAAAAAAGAGGTAGATGAAATGAGGGAGTAGAAATGAAAAAAGCCACACAAGAAAGAAACGTGGGATGTCTTTGAAAAACACCTTTAAGTTTCATGCAGCCTGTTGTTAACTGACAAAGTGAAGACAAGAAGAACACTGTATGGTATCACATTGTTTTGTTTATTACCTTTCATTTTCTTCTTACAAATGCTAGTACTTTACTCACTTCTTGACAATTACTGAACACTCAGCAGATGTCCGGGTTAAGCTGACAACATGCACTTGCATCTTGAGCACCACAAATTGATTTGACAGCTAAACTGGACAATTTAAACAGTCTATATTCTCCTTGTCAAAATAAACCATGAAAAACACTGGTTTATTTGACACAAATATTCCATTCAGCCGCAGAGAAATACTTTGCTTAGAATAAAAGCAGAGCAAAATATAGTCTAACCCTCCAACTTTACTGTTCCTGCTTCTTCAGTGAGTAAGCATGAAGTGGGACCCCTAACGTCCTGTATAAAGTATTTTCTGGGATAGCTGGAAGGAATCAAATTTTTGGGGGGGATGCAACTAATCAAATGCACTAGATAGGTAAAGTCATTAAAGCATTGCATCTTCCTGGGAATAGTTTAATCACTGCCAAAGTCAAGGATTCGTTCTTTTCCTTTTTTTTCTCCAAGCAAATGAAAGCCCTCAACCCACACCCTCTGGCATAGCTTCTGCTGTGGTAGCCCTGTGGCATTCCCCCATGAGATGCAGACTTCCCTCACGGGGAGGAAGGCGAACTGGTTCTCACACATCTTCTCCAAGTGCTCCAGGTACTACTTCACTTTTTTGAATCTGGCCCTAATCATATTTGCAAACAGCCTCGAGATGACAGCAACCACAGTGGTAGTTTTACTGGCGTTTTTCTAATGGTCTTCTTGCCAGTTGTGCTTAGACCTGTCCTTGGATGTTGCAGTTCAGTCAGAGCCCACTGCACACAAGTGTGCCACAGCCTACATTTCTTTCAACAACCCTTATCTTGAACTTTGTCTGTTGGTGTCCTGATTTCAGCTGGGGTAGTGTTAATTTTTCTCCTAGTAGCTATAGGTGCAAAAATACTATATACAAAATACTATATTTTGTATTAAGTATGAGAATAACGTTGATAACACACTGATGTTTAGTTGTTGCTAAGTAGTACTTACTCTAAACCAAGGACTTTAGATTTTCCATGCTCTGCCAGTGAGGAGGTGCACAACAAGCTGGGAGGAAGCAGCACAGCCAGGAAAGCTGATTCGAACTGGCCAAAGAGATATTCCACACCACAGAACATCATGCTGAGTATATGAACTGGGGGGGAATTGGCTGGGAGGAGTGACCACCACTCAGGGATGGGATGGGCATCATTTATACTTGGTGAGCAACTGTATTGTGAGTCACTAGGGGTTTTTTTGTCCTTGAGTTTTATTTCTCTCTCTCTTTTTGTTACCTCCCTTTTCATTACTATTATTATTAGTAGTATCAGTATCATACTTGACTTTATTCCAATTATGAAACTGTTATTAGCTCAAACCATTGCATTTACCCTTTTCCAGTTCTGCTCCATGCCCCACTGGGGAGGGGGAGTGTGTGAGTGGCAGCATGGTACTTAGTTGCTGCTGGGGTTAAACCATGGCAGTTGATACTTCATTTACAATTATATTGCTTCCAGACATTTACAGTAGCTTTATTAGATCCATCTGGTATTCTTCATAATCCTCCCAAACTGTGCCAAACCCAAATAATCTGTATCACAAGCAAATATTACTACCAGACCATTCATCCTTCCAGACTCTGAATAATATACAGAACAGTGGCTCCAATCAGGGTCCTTGGGGCATCGTGCTATTAACCTTTTTCCATTTTAAGAGGCAGCAATTTATTCTAGCTCTTCATAGTCTCTCTCTCGGCTAGTTTTTAACTCATGATATGACTTTACCTTTCACTTCTGATTCTGAAGTTCCTTTACAGCCTCTTTGAAAAAGACTTCATTGACAGCATTTCAAGGCTCTAAATCAACATCATCTCTCATCCTTCCTTAGCCAATATTTTAATATTGAAAGAACATTTACATCTTGGAAAATAAATGGTTTTCCCACCATTATTAAGTGACTTCATTTTGGCTTATCAAAGCCAGTGCATGGGAGGCATATGGTTATGACCATCTGCTTCCAGCCTACAATAGTCCTTCAGCTGCCTCAGAAATACACCATTAATTCTTTATCTTATACTAAGCTAAAAATCTATAACCCGGATGATTCCTAAAATCAACATGAGTTCCACTTTAAAGAGTGAATATTGCGTTTTTTCATTTTCTCCTTGCAAAGAAATGTTTGCCATAACACATTGCTTTAGCTCTCTAAGGTCAAATAAACAACCCATTTAATTCAAGAGCCATTTTTCATTTTTTGGGATGGATTTTTCAAATTCAGCTGCTTCTTATTTTAGTTCTCACTAGACATTCTTATATCACTTGCTTCCAGCTATGTTTAATTTCGTCTTTTCAAAGATGTCTCTGGGACATGTCTGTCGCCTTTATTACTTGAAAAAACAAGGATAACCCTGAATTCCCCACAGGTAGTTATTTCCTGCCATTCCATTATACTAATAACTGTGACAATCACAGAATTTGTAGGTTGGAGAAGAACTTTAAGATCAACCATTAATCCAGCTCTGCCAGGTCTACCTATAAACTATGTCCCGAAGTGCCACATCTACATGTTTTTTAAATACCTCCAACGATGGTGATTCCACCACTTCCCTGGGCAGCCTGTTTCAATGCCTCACCACCCTTTTGGTGGACAAATTTTTCCCAATATCCAATCTAAATCTTCCCTGGGAGAACTTGAGGTTGTTTCTTCTTGTTATATACTATGTTACTTGGGAGAAGAGACTGACACCCACCTGGCTACAGCCTCCTTTCAAGCACTTGTAGACAGTGATAAGGTCACACCTGAGCCTCCTGCAAGCTAAACACCCCCAGCTTCCTCAGTGTAGTGGGTTGACCCTGGCCAGGTGCCAGGTACCCACTAAAGCCTCTCCCTCTGCAGCTGGACAGAGGAGAGGAAAAAAACCAGCTTCATTAGTTGAGATAACAGCTGGGAGAGGTCAGTGACTGATTACCTTCACAGGCAAAACAGACTCAAAGAGGGGATAGTACTTAAATTTATCACTAACAGGATAAGAGCCAAAGAACAAGAAATAAAACAGTCTTAAAACCACCTTCCCTCCACCCCTCCTTCCTTCCATGTTCTCCCTCCTCCCCCCCAGTGGTGCAGGGGGATGGGGAACAGGGGGTTGCAGTCAGCTCTTGTTTCTGCCTCTGCTCAGGGAGAGGAGTCCTTCCCCCTGCTCCCATGGGGTCCCTCCCACGAGAGACAGTCCTTGATGGACCTCTCCAGCATGAGTCCATCCCTCAGGCAGCAGTTCTTCCCAGACTGCTGTCCCGTGGGTCACTCCTCCATGGGGTGCAGTCCTTCACGAATGAGCTGTACCAGCGTGGGTCCCCCACAGGGGCCACAAGTCCTACCTGGGATAAACCTGCTCCAGTGTGGGCTTCCCTCTCCACGGGCTGCAGATCTCCAGCAGGACCCCGCTCCATCCTGGGCCTCCCACGGGGTCACAGCCTCCTTCATGCATCCACCTGCTCCAGCAAGGGCTCCTCCATGGGCTGCAGGTGGGTCTCTGCACCCCAATGGTCCCCCATGGGCTGCAGGGGCACAGCTGCCCCACCATGGTCTGCACCAGGGGCTGCAGGGCCTCAGCTCTGGCACCTGGAGCACCTCCTGTCCCTCCTTCTGCACTGACCTTGGTGTGTGCATTGTTGTTCTCATGTTCTCACTCTGCTCTTCCCTGGCTGGAATTCTTTCTGCGCAACAACCTTCTGTTCTCAAATATGTTATCACAGAGGTGTTACTATCATTCCAAATTGGCTCGGCCTTGGCCAGTGGCAGGAAGTCTGTCCTGGAGCCGGCTGGCGTTGGCTCCACCGGACAGGGGAAGCTTGTAGCAGCTTCTAACAAAAGCCACCCCGGTAGCTCCCCCCCCCACCCCGCTGCCAAAACCCAGCCACAGAAACCCACTACACTCAGCCACTCCTAATATGACTTATGCTCCAGACCCTTCTCTAGTTTCATTGCCCTTCTCTCCAGCACCTCAATGCCTTTGTTATCATGAGGGGCCCAAAACTGAACACAGGATTCAAATTGCAGCCTCCTCAGTGCCAAGTACAGAGGAACAATCACTGCCCTCGTCCTGCTGGCCACGCTATTTCTGATACAGGCCAGGATGCCGTTGGCCTTTATGGCCACCTGGGCACACTACTGGCTCATGTTCAGCTGCTGTCAACCAGCACTTCCAAGTCTTTTTCCGCTCTTTCCCAAGCCTGTAGCGCTGTTGCGACCCAGGTGGAAGATTTGGCATTCAACCTGTTGCATCTCATACAAGTGGCCTTGGCCCATCAATGCTGCCTGTCCAGATTCCTCTGCAGAGCCTTCCTACCCTCCAGCAGATCAACGCTCCCACCCAACTTGGTATCGTCTGCAAACTGACTGAGAGTGCACTTGATCTCCTTGTCCAGTCATTGATAAAGATATTAAACAGAACTGGCCCCAGTACTGAGCCCTGAGGGATAATGAATGTATATAAGCAGCTCCGTGTCTCTGCCAAATATTTTCCTTCTTCAGTTGTGAATGGAGTACTTTCTGTTTTTAAAGATTATAAAATACATTCGCTCGATCTTGGTTTCTTCAAGTCTGTACAGACCAATGATCTCAACATTTTTGGTATAATATTTGCCGAACTATTCAACAGGTTTGTTTTTATTTGTTTGGGGGTTTTTTTATTTCATTTAAAAATAGCAGCTTATTAAAATAAAAATCTTAACAGCTGGGAAATCCCTGTCTATTTGTATTCAAAAGGAGATTTTAGAAGTGGCTGGCTTTAAAACCTTGTGTGGATATCCCTTTCCTACACCTCTTCCAGATGCAGAAAAGTGGAAAGGCAGCTGCACATTTCTGTCATGGTTGAGGGCACTGTTAATTGAATTTGTGCTAAGTGACTACTTGCCTAATCAGCAACTGACTGGATTTGAGGTGATCGTGATGAACTGGCTATACCTGGCTTGCAGGTGAGTAAACTTCCTTTCATGTCTTTTGCTATTGACCTCTATATTTGTGCTTTACCCAACATGGGCTGTATGGGAAGTTCGCTTTTCCTCTACTTTACTTTATCAGCCAGTCATGTCAAACTGTAGCACTAATGCCATAAATACTATTGTTTTTCTCTTTCTCAGCAATCACCTTTGACTTCAGTTAAAAGCTCTCATTGCTTTATCATTTTCAAAACTTCCTTAACCACAGAGATCCATTCCTGAGCAGTAAACCCTTAGAAAAACAGCATGGATGAAAGGATATATTGAGTAATAGACTGGGTGGCCAATCTTGCCTCAATTATCATGAAGAAATAGTGGGGGATGGAGAAGGTTGTCTTCCCTCAGCTGCCTGGATTCTCATTAATATCTTGAAAGGCAAAGGCAAATCACAGCCACTCAACATTTTGATCCATTAGGTGAGGCATCTGACACACAACTCATTGAACTTAAAGAATGAGTTTTCCATTGATTTCAACAGCTCTAGATGTGGTCTGATGCTGCTGCCTGGAACAGGCAGAAGATTTCTGCTTCAAATAAAGCAGAAGATTTCATTTCTTGGCTGTCCCTTCTGCCTGGAACCACTGCTGGCCTCTGGCAAAAAAAAAAAAAAAATCTATCTGGACTTACTGACTGGTTTGTGTGGAGCCAGGGTTATGATGTCTGGGAAGACGTATTATTCTGTCAAATAAGGTCTGCTGGCAGCCCTGAAAATGTGAAGTAAGCTTACTAGTATGCATCTGAACCATTTTAAAATTCAGGCCGTGACAGTAATGGCTGCAATACAGAAAGAGGAGAGGCTACTACTGTACATCAGCAGAACTAACCTATCTTAGTTTTTTCCCCAGGTAACGGCAACTCGGCAGTCAGAATGAACAGTTTTCCTGTTGGAAACCTCCTGTTGCAAAATTAGTAGTTAATTCACCACAGCAACAGGCGTGCTTTCTACTGTCCTCTGGTGAAACTCTTAGCTCAGTACAGGCACCTAATGGCTATGGCAGTGGATGGATCTGCTACATTAACCTGTTACTGAAGTGCAGGTCTGGGGGTGTGTGCTGGTTTTGGCTAGAGTAGAGTTAATTTTCTTCACAGTAGCTAGACTGGGGCTGTCTTTTGGATTTGGGCTGAACAGTGTCAATTATATAGAAACGTTTTTGTTATTGCTGAGCAGTGCTTACACAGAGCCAAGGTTTTCTCTGCCTTTCATACTGTAACACAAGCAAGCAGGCTGGGAATGCTTGGCAAGTTGGGAGAAAGCACAGATGGAACAGGTGACTCCAACTGACCAAAAGGGATATTCCATACAATATGACATCATGCTCAGTATAAAAAGGAGATGGAAGGAGAAAGAAGGGGACATTTGGAGTTTATGTTCCCAAGTAATCGTTACATGTGATGGGGCCCTGCTCTCTTGAGTTGGATGAACACCTGCCTGCCCATGGGAAGCAGTGATTTAATTCCTTGTTTTGCTTTGCTTGCATGCACAGCTTTTGTTTTTCCTGTTAAGCTTTCTTTATCTCAACCTACAAGTTTTCTTTTCCCCCTGTGATTCTCTCCCCAGTCCCACTGGTGAGGGAGTGAGCGAGAGGCTGTGTGGTACTTGGTTTCTGGCTGTAGTTAAACCACAACAGGGTGTGTAGAATCAATAGGCACAAACTGGATGTAACTGTGCTCAGTCTGAGAACTAGGAGACTGTCTGATCACTGGAGCAGGGAGGCTCTGGAACAGCTCTTTGGTTGGAGGCCAGAAGCGTAACTTTCAAGTGAGTATGATGAGAGTTGAGACTCTGCTCTTTCATTCTGACACCAGTCAGGAATAACTGTTCACTAACAAGTTTAATGTTTGCAGCTGGACATGCACACATTGTCAGGGTCATGCTCATTATTGCTATTATTGACACTTGCTGAGTATCACATGCACTCAAATGAAGTACTAACAACCTTAAGGTTCACACAATGGAAAACTTTGTTCATGCTGGCAGGAAATATACTTTGTAGGTCTAATTTACAAGGTTTGAACAATATAATTTATTTTCACTTTGACGTTAAGTGCAAAGGCATCTATCCCATGGCCTTCCAGATATAAATTCAGTGTCTTATTCTTACTTTTTGTTCATGGTCCCAAAAGAATGAAGTAATTTGACATCAGCAGTTTTTGTGCATTACTGTTTCCATGTTTTTACCTGTTGTGTGTATTCAAAGGAAAAGAATAGGAAAGCTTGTCCTAATAAGAGAAACTGAGATCCTATTCTCACTGCAGAAAACATGACAGTAATCAAAGATTAAAGAGTCTGTGTTCAGATCCTCTGAGAAAAGGAGAGCAGAGCCCTAATCTCTGGATTTGAAGTGCTCCAGGCTGTGTGCAATAGTTAAGGAAAAAGAATAACACAGGAGGTATGCCTGGGCCTCACCCAGAGCCCAGTGAAGTAAGCAGAAACTTTGGTTGCTTTAAGTCTTGATAGATAAGTCTTCCATCTGCATCTAGCTCAGACTCCAGAAAGCCAAAGGACCCTTGGGTGTGGAGTATCTCCACTAATTCTTTGTGCTCCACAGGAGGTTTCTGTCTCTCCTACTCCAGATAGAACCCCTTGCTAGCAATTGCAAGAACCAGGCCTGCATCAGTAGGGAGGGATAATCTGGCCCACAGTGCACTGAATTACACTGTTGCCTAATAGCTGTATTGCTCTCTGCCAGCTGAATGGCATCTGGATGCCAGATTCTGCAGAGACGTGTATCACTTATCTGTAAACATGCTTTCTGAATACAGTAAACCTCCATGTACTCTGATACTTTCTGCCTTAAGTAACATGGAAAAAAATAGGACTAATTTTTTTTTCCATCTGACGGCATTTTAGACAAATACTAAAATCCCAGAACAATTGGACAAATGAGTAATAGTCACCAATGAGGGGGAGGAGGATAAATGTTATAAAACAGCATCTGGTATGTATGAAACCAGCACAAGACTGAGAATATTCAATTGCCAGTTTGCTAGCTTTTCTTCTTAGAGGAAGGTGCTACTATTAAAAAAAAAATTAAAAATCAGAATTACTTCCTCTTGGAAACCTTGGGGTTGCCTCTCATTTCCAAGGCAGTATTAAAGTTACTGCTTGGAAAAATATCCTCATCTGTGTGAAGAATAAGAAACTCAGTGATTCTTAATTATCTCTTTTTCTGGAGGTCTGGATGTTAGGTTGGGTCATTCCCCACACAGTGACCACTTAACATTCGGAAGTTGGCCCTCAAATGCAGTAAGCCCGGGAGCCAGATGGAATACAACTGGGACCTCCCAGTTTCCCTGGAGCTAACTAAAATAGACAAATAAAACTGAAATCAAAAGCAAGGAAAGTACTTCTAGCAGCAGTGATTAATATTACTGTTTGTAATTTAGTGATTTCCAAATCCACATATCCTACTGTGGCAAATAATGCACAAACGCAGGCACACACAAAAGACAGGGTTCTGCAGAGACTGCATTTCTGGCTTTTGGGTCTTTTTTAAGCCATATATGTTGCATGCCTTCTCTATTTCTCTGGTGTGCACTGGCACCTTCTGGGATGCATCAGCAGTGCTGTGGAAAGAGGCTGTAAAGCTGTGTTATGTTATCATGTCGTTACATGTCATGTCATGTTGTGTATATCATGTTACGCAGCAGGTATACGCTATGTATGGTCATGGCAGACACGGTAAATCTGTGCATCTTTTTAATGTTTGCTGTCCAGTTCCTTGTATTCCAGCTTTGTAAATTTTGGGCTAGGGCAAACTTCTTTTGACTATTTGGTACATGGACCCTCTCGCTGAGTGCCAGGCTGGTGGATATTCATTCCTTTCCAGTTTTTCACCTTTCCATTTTCTGGTCACACATCTGCTTTGCCAACATGGAAAGACGTGAGCATTGCAGCTCTCTGCTCTCACCTGAATAAGTAAATGACAATCAGTTTAGCAGCTTGTAAGGGGAAGAAAAGTAAACAGTGCTGTGACAGCAGGTCTGCTTTCGCCCACAGCTATAGAGCTCTGACCACCACACAAATTGAAGGGCACAGTCAAGACTGCTTGAAGTATTGAACAATTAATGAATTTTGCAACAGATATAATATGGTTTTACCTCAGAGGTATCCAGAAGGGCTCCAAAGGGAATTTAACATGGATAATTCTAGTTGGGAAGCCAGACAGGCCACGGAAGAAAACCCAGTAACTATGGTAATGTGAAAAGAGGCCTGGGCAGCCTGGGGAGATAGGCAACATTTAGAAGTACCAGCAAGAAAGATACAGGAAAAGTAGTGCCAGTAGCTTCCATAAGACCAGCCAGTAAGTGCAACAGGACAACAGCAATGTTTGTCAAGGCACTGTCAGAGGGATAGAGGCTTCTCAGCACTGACTGAGAATAAAATCAAAGGTACTGGCATAAGGACAGAAGTTACATGATGGGGATGCCTGATAGCAAGAGAAAAGGTACCAAAGACAGATTTATTTTTGTGCACAAAGATGTTTCTGAATTTCAAGACAGATAACTCCTGCACCGGACTGAAGATATATATGCATAGTCATCAGAAGAGAAAGACAGATGAATCCAATAACTTTGCAATGTGCAGAACTCTTCTGCAGCTCACACCTTCTCAAGCCACAAGGATACTGATAAATATATCCATCTGCTGTAAACGTAGAAGCTCTTCACAAGTCTTATTTGTCAGTTGTTCAGCTCAAACCACAGGACATTACTTGTGTCTCATAACAAGCCTTTCTCTTTGTGGTCCATATACATGGTAGGGAAGCTTGCTTACTCACGAGACTAAGATTGCTTTAACATGAAACATCATTGCATGTCTTTGAGTTCAGTAGAGTTGCAGTAATTATTTTCACCTAATAATTAAAGGACAAAAAAATCAAGCTGGAAATCAAAAGACAATCCCTTTCATTGCACCACTGGAAACATTATTTTGAACTATCTTTACAAAACCGCAGGAAAGAGCAAGCTAAAAGGACACACGTATTAGTAGAGTTTTAATTCAGACCATATAATTTAATTCTGAATTATAATAGATCAAAGGGAAACTGAAATAAAAAAAATACCTGTTGGATTATGTAGAATGGAGTTCCTCTTCTTAATAGCTCTGAAAAGATTACAGTGTCATGAGGCTCCATCAATCAGAACAGAAAACCCGAAGAACAAGGACAAATCAAAGGTTAAGTGCATGGTGCTGAGGAACACTCTAGCCACCTTCCTTTTACAATTATAAAACGGATGAGTTTGTGTTGGTGGATCTATTTAGATGGAAAAACAGCAGTCTATATTCACACAGTGACTTTCTGCCCATGCATTTCCCCTGATGTTTACAACCACCTTGTATTTTGCCATCTCAGTTAATGAACTGTCGCTATTTCTCTGTGTGTATTCTTAAAAGGCTTGTTATTAATTTATTTTTTAAACTTCTCTTTAGCCCAGGAAAAGAGAGCACTACAATATTCATTGTTTCTATTCAACAGAAGGGAAGAAAAAAGGAAAGGAAACAAAGCCCTAGATCCATAGAAAGCTCAAACTCCTTTCTGCTGTAACTCCAGTGAAATAATTTAATATAGCCCAGAGATGTGCTTAGTCCATGTTTTTTACACAAGAACAGTAAAGGTCCTAAATATTTCAGGAACCTCAAACAGGGATTGCCTAGGGATTGTCTATTTGGCAGGACTCAAGATGGAGATTTTGGTCTCAAAGAGAATTTTATTTTTACATTGTTTTTTTCCTTTCTGTTGCAGAGCTTTGAGACTGTACATCCTCAGGGAGACATCCAGTTACTTTTAAATCAAGAGGTGGTCTAAGTTTGGTTTCAGTGGAAGCTGGAACAGGCCGCACATGCATAGGAAACATGCTGTTATCTAACAGCGTGCTGTTATATCATGTGATCACTAGAAAGGTGTATCATCAACATATTCCAGATGTCTAATTTTTCCTTAACCAATTTGATGCTGCAGGCTATTTGGGGCCCTTAGTTCAACAATTGTGCTCTTTAAAATGACAGTGAGTGCTAATTTTGTCCTAAAACCTGGATTTATAAAAGCAAACTTTTATAAAACCTGAAACCTAAGGAATTGCCATATGCTATTGTTAAATTGCAGTTGTTTGCATGCTGATATATACCCTCCAGGAATGCCTGAATTCCCATACAGCAGCAACTTGGAGCTACGTTAAACAGTATAATGAAAACTAAAACTGCTTCTGTAGCTTTTCATCGACTTCCATGCTTGATGCTGACCAAGAAGTCATTGCTTGAGTTTTCATTGTGTAGGCAGCACCTCCTTAAGCTATCATCAGGCTGTATGGCGTCAGTCAGCAGCAGAGGCAACAGATGCCCTCACCACTGTAGTATCACTGTAGGCCAGCTCTGAAAGCAGCTTTCACGGTGTTGGGTCACTCTGGTGCCTATGGTTTGGGAAGCCTCCACCAGATAGTGTTCTTAATAAAAGTGATACTCTGTGGTATCTCTCACGCCCTTACAAGGTTTCACTCAAAGTGCAAGGTACTACTCTACTCCTGGGTTATGCTACTACAAGTTCTCATCTGTTAATACCCTCTCTGCCTTTTTGGAATGTCACTCGAGCTTGCTTTTCCAAATGCTTTTGCTGTTTTTTTAATGCTGTATGAATAGTATACATGAAGAAAAGGGTTTCTCTTTCTCTCCAGCTGAGAAAAGCATTGAGTTCTGAATGGAATCAAAAAGCAGCTGATCAGTTTTGGGAACATGAGGCTGAGTAAGGAAACCGGGGGTTCTTCCCGCCCCCCTCCCTTTCTCCTAAGTGTGGATTAAATCGCACTTTGTAAATAAAAACGGCGTGAATGGTGCGCTAGGTCACATCCCGTCTACATCCTCGCAAGCAGTAACAATTTCTGAAAGATTTAGCACAGATATTCAGCGTTCGTGGAAGCCGTCCAGCACACTTCTAACGGCCTGTATCTAATTTGTCATTCAAGTTGTTTCTTTTTAAATAAGGCGCAGAGGAACACGCTAATTTTAGGATGCCGGTGCTGGGCGGGGGGAGTGGGGGAAGGCGGGGAGGGGTGGTTCTCTCCCACGGAGGAGCTCTTCCCGAGGCGGCGGGCAAGGACCGGCGCGGGAAGCGCTCCCAGTGAGCGGGAAGTGATGCCCTCGGGCTGCCGCGGGTGCGGCGAGCCCCCGACAAGCCCTCTCTGCCGGCACCCGCTCGCACTTCGCCTCTACGGCGTGGTAAGCCGCTCCCTCGGGACGAGGCGGCTCAGGGAGCCATCGCTCCCTCGGTTCCGAGTCTCCCGCAGGGCCGCTGCGGGATTAGCTCCGCGCCCGCCCTGCCGTGCCCGCAGCCCGCCCTGCCCCGGCTGCTTAAGGCCGACTCGCGGGCTCAGCTCCGGCTTAGCCCGGGACTCCTGTCCCCGCGTCCCCTCGGGGATCGCTCCCCACCTGTCCGCGGGCGCTGCCCGTGACGTCATGGAAACACCCCCTTCCCCCGCCCCTCCGGCCAGGAAGGCGGGCGGGAGCAGCGGCTCCCGCGGGCGGCGGGGCGGGGGCAGCGCGGCGGCTCCTCCTGTTGGCCGGCGGGGCCGTCAGTCGAGCGCGGCGGTCCCGACGCCGGTCCCGCTCGTGGGCGCTCCCCGGCAGTCGGAGCGAGCACTCCCGCCCGAACCGGCGCAGGTGGAGCGGCCCTTTATGGTGGCGGCTGTCGCTGCTTTCAGGCTCCGTCCTCCCTCCCTCCCTCGCTCCTGCCTGCGGGGCGCCGCTGCCCGGGGGCCATGGCGGGGGCGCCCGGCGGGCCGTAGGTGAGGAGCTCAGGTGGGTGTCCGCCGAAGGGACGGGGCGGTGTAGCGGGGCGCACCCCCGGGCGGGCTGGGGCGGGGGCGCTGCCCTCGCTGAAGGGCCGCGGGGCGAGCCAGGCTGGGGGGCGGCGGCGGCGGCGGCGAACTGGGCACGCGAGGAGTGTGGCGTTTTAGCGCACGGAAAGCACCTTGCTCGCCCGGCTGGCAGCGAGGGCGCCCAGGGCTGACGGCCGGGGCTGCTGCCGGTGCAGCGCCTTCTCCCGCCTGCCCCGCCGAGCCCCTCTCCAGCCACCTCCTGTGGCCCTCGTGGTCCCCGGCCGCGCTGTCACAGCCCCACGCCGCTGTTCTGGAGCGGCAGCCAACTTAGACATCTTTCCCTGCTCCAGGAGGGTGCCGCTGACGGGGTTATTTGACTCCTGGTGCGCTCCGTGTGGCACCGAGGTGGAGCGCATTCCTGGCGGGCTGTGACACACCGGGCTGGCGCTGCCCGGGGAGCGGTGGCCGTTCCCGGCGTGGGCTGGGACAGGTCTCCTCGCCGGCTGCGGGCTCTGGGGAATCGCCCGGCAGCCGGCTGGCTGTGAAATGGAACTTCAGAATTCTTGGAGGTGTTTGCAAAGCCGTCATTCTCCTCTAATTCTGTGTTTCTCTGTGCGCTCGTAAAATAAAAGAAAAATAAAAAAAGAAAAAGCCACCATTATTATTATTTTTATTTCTCCTCTGCATCTTAAAGAAAATAGGTTAATTAAATCCGTCTTCGGTTTCCAGGTTGATTTAATTTCCATTTGAGGACCAATTAAGCAATAGGAGCTTTTAAATACGCCATTACTTGAAAACTGTTTGATGTACACCTCAGTGACAGTGAAGTACTCTTCACTGAGACTTTTATTTTTACTAGGAGGATATCTGGAATGGCTAGTCTGGAACGGTATTTAATAAATGTAAGGTAATTTGTCTGCTTTACAGTTTTGTCCTAGGTCTCTAATGATGGTAACAGTGTTCTTCTTTCTGTTTTCTTGAGAAAGGACACAGGGAGTAGTTGCTTCATCCCTTGACTTTCATCGATTAATTATAGAGTTCACAATGTTTCACTCAGAGTTCAGAGCATTTTACTCTACTTAATTTCAACAGAGCTTTGTAAGCCTAGTTTGGTTATTTAAAGCATGTGTTTTCATTAACAGTTTCTGTAAAGCCGTGGGTAACAAGAGTTTTAATTTTCATGAGCTTTTATTTTTATTGTTGAAAATATTTTAAAAAAGGTATCTTTAAATAATACTCCCTCACCTGTATTCGCAATAGATTAAGCTAACTACTTTTCCACTGTGGCTCTTAGGCCATTTTCAAAACAGTGGCATTCACAAGTCTTTTCTATCTTTACTCTTATATTGTCTTCCCCATATATTGCTTTAGGCCGATTTATACCCTCTCTTTTATCATTTTGTGTAGTATCTTGGTTTGCATGCAGGAAAGGTGGGAGAGGACTTTTAGGTATTGGAGATGTTCTCTGTGTGTGCACTGGACAATTGTGGTTGTGCTGAAATTCCTAGGGTGTTCACTCAGGACAGGAAATGATGGTGGGACTCAGCTGGAGTCTGCTTGTTGCAACACTGTCTGGCTAGCTCATTCACTGTTGCAAATGTAAGTATTCTGTATTTTATACAGAACCTTATTTGTTTTTTTTTAAGTAGACGTAGGCACACAGTCATAAAGAATTGGGTCTTGTTCAAAGCACATCTGTTATAAACAGATGCGTGTCAGCCTAATGGCTATTCCTTCATTTGTTGCATTCTCTAGGTCTTGTTACACACTGTGGAGGAAGTAGAGTCAAACAGGGAATTTCCTGTATCTTATGGTTTCTAACTCTAAAACTGAGTTTTCAGTTGCTACAAATGGTTCTCTTAGCTACAAAATGAGAAAAGCCTTTCTATTGAAAAGTAAATTCATACACTAAGTGCTAATATGTTTTAGATTTAAACTGGATATGCTATAAGGTGCTTTTCAAAACCATGCAGTGATGAAGGAGGCAGCAGAATGAGTATGTGACTGTGCAGTCATAGGGTACTTTTATAGGTCAGAAGCAGCGTAGTATCTGTATCAGCATATTTTGATCTTATTGAATTCAATCTTACTTTACTTCAGTTAAGATTTGACTTGCCAAAGTTGCAAAGTTTTGCTGCTAAAGGGCTGAGGGGTAGATACTGTGATACACTGCAACTAATGTAGCCAAAGAAACTTCTAGGAGAATCTAATTGCTTTTTCCGGTATCAAATTTCAGATACTGGGATGCAGATATTGTGACATCTGACAAACAACTATCCAGATAGGGACTAATGTGTTACCAAATTTACTTTGCTCTGCTTTTTGAGATGCTGGATTTATGTGTCTGTCTTCTGCATTAATGGTTATGGTAAAGTGTTATACTTTATGGGATGCTGTTTTTAGGCTCCTGCAGCTATCACTTTTAAGTCTTTGAATACTGTGGTTTGAAATACATGTTTCATTGCTTTAGTTTTTCATTTATCTGAAGGACAAGGAGGTTTTGTGTATGTAACATTGTCCTTTTGTGGGTATTTGTCCTTATTCTGCTAACATAAAATATATCTCTGTGTTATCTAATTACCTTAGAGCAAAGTTTTCTGTCTGCCTTCAAGGTTGAGTGATGTGGGTGTTGATGCTAATGAATATGACAGTCTACATAAAGTCGAAGACATAATAGCTAAGAAAAGCACAGCTGTGGGTCTGACCCTGGGAGGCACGATATCTGTAACTCCTTCTCCTTTCAATCCGTTCTAGCTCGTTGTTCATGCAAAGTTCTTGAAGATGCTTGTGACTTTCACATGGTGCATATGTTCAGAAATAGATTCTATTATATATAAAGTTATGGCATGAATGAATACAGCGTTGGAGTTGTAGTTTTGGAGCTCTGTCATCATGAAACTCATGGCCTGTTGTTGCAAGTTACCTGGGTTAAGGACTGCCCCAGCCAGGGCAGAAAACAAAAAACACGAACAAATTCTTTCTGGTTTTCTGTATTCAGCTGTCCCAACTGAGATAATTGTTAAATGATCAGAGCTGTTGGTACTGTTGGATTTTTTTGTTTGGTTTGTGGCATTGTTTTTGTTTTGTTTTGTTTTTCTAAAATACAAATTCAATGGCAATTCTGGTACCTGCCTTCTTAGTAAAAGCAGTGAGGACTCTAAGAATGCTGGCTGAAACTGAGAAATGTATTTGGCCATTGCAGCTCAGCCCGTGCTGTCCTGCCTGTCTGGTGTGCCAGAAGAGCACTGACTCAGTGCAAGCTCCTTAGGGTAGAAGTCACGTGTCAGTGTGTAGCACTGAGCACAGCAGGGCTTAATCCTATTTCGGTGTCTGGGTGCTCCGTGATGTTAACCACAAAAGTAAAGAAATATAGTTGAGCTGCTTTCAGTGAGGCAAGTGCTGAGCAGTTTTTGCAATGCTTGTCTGCTATTTGCTAATGATTCCCAGTGTTTGGATGAAGGCTATTCTAGACATGCCTCTTGAATTGTTTTCTGTGGAAAATACGTACTGATAAGCAAAACTTGACAGGAATCCCTGTTATGTGCAACAGGAGGGAGGAATAAGAGAGAGAACTGACTTTCATTGACCTCTAAGCCCCAAGCTGAAGTAGTGCATTGAGAATTGCTATGTGCATCTAGGTCTTAGACATATCTCTAAACTAAATA